TAAGATGTGTAACCTAATTTAACGTAACACTTTTTGTGCGTGCAGTTCTCCCAGCCTCCCAGAGTAAGCCGCCGCCCCCACCTCCGCCACCCTCGGGTCCACATGGCAACTGCAAGATGGCGTCACTCAGCTCGGTGCCCATGCCTGGCTTCTATTTCCATGGCAACCTGAACGTTGACTGGACGCCGCCAATTTGCTCAGCCGTGACGCCCTCAACGTTGACGTCATTCTTAAACAGCAAGAACAGCCACCGCTTCCAGAGTGCAGCAGACGACGACAACAGCTACAGTTCCAGATGTTCAGGTCTGGTCCTGAGATAAAATAGAAAACGTATCAGTGTGAGATTAGGGGCAACTGTGCTCGCATGACACGGGGATTATTAATGTATCTATAAGTGTATTGGGTTATACATGGTGATGCGTTGTGGGTTTTACATGTTATTTTGTAAGACTATTGCATAGCAGAGTGTAATGTATGTTACATGCTGCAGCAAAGTAAGCTTTACACTGTGATATTTAACACGCGAGAACGCGAGAAACAAACAGTAAACACAAATAATTCACATTTTTGTGAGCAACGCTTGTTGAACCTATATAGAGAGCAGCGACCACCTTTTCCAAGAAACGTATGTATCTACTCACAGAGCTTTATTCATCCCCTCCTAGAGCCTCATTCATCCCCTCCTAGAGCCTCATTCATCCCCTCCCAGAGCCTCATTCATCCCCTCCCAGAGGCTCATTCATCCCCTCCCAAGGTTACATTCATCCCCTCCCAGAGCCTCATTTATCCCCTCCCAGAGCCTCATTCATCCCCTCCCAGAGCCGCATTCATCTCCTCCCAGAGCCGCATACATCCCCTCCTAGAGCCTCATTCATCCCTTCCTAGAGCCTCATTTATCCCCTCCTAGAGCCTTATTCATCCCCTCCCACCTTCATTCATCCCCTCCTAGAGCCTTATTCATCCCCACTTAGAGCCTCTTTCATCCCCTCCCAGAGCCTCATTTATCCCCTCCTAGAGCCTCATTCATCCCCTCCTAGAGCCTCATTTATCCCCTCCTAGAGCCTCATTCATCCCCTCCTAGAGCCTTATTCATCCCCTCCCACCTTCATTCATCCCCTCCTAGAGCCTTATTCACCCCCACTTAGAGCCTCTTTCATCCCCTCCCAGAGCCTCATTCACCCCCTCCTAGAGCCTTATTCATCCCCTCCCACCTTCATTCATCCCCTCCTAGAGCCTTATTCATCCCCACTTAGAGCCTCTTTCATCCCCTCCCACAGTCTCATTCATCCCCTACCAGAGGCTCATTCATCCCCTCCTAGAGCCTCATTTATCCCCTCCAAGAGCCTCATTCATCCCCTCCTAGAGCCTTATTCATCCCCTCCTAGAGCCTCATTCATCCCCTCCTAGAGCCTCATTCATCCCATCTTAGAGGCTCATTCATCCCCTCCTAGAGCCTCATTCATCCCCTCCCAGAGCCTTATTCATCCCCTCCCACCTTCATTCATCCCCTCCTAGAGCCTTATTCATCCCCACTTAGAGCCTCTTTCATCCCCTCCTAGAGCCTCTTTCATCCCCTCCAAGAGTCTCATTCATCCCCTCCTAGAGCCTCATTTATCCCCTCCCAGAGCCTCATTTATCCGCTCCCAGAGCCTCATTCATCCCCTCCCAGAGCCTCATTCATCCGCTCCCAGAGTCTCATTCATTCCTTCCCAGGGTTACATTCAGCTCCTCCCAGAGCCTCATTCATCCCCTCCCAGAACCTCATTCAGCCCCTTCCAGAGCCGCACTCATAGAGATACTATCCTAACTCACATAATGAGCTTTTCTTGAAACAGAAGACTGAAAACATGTTAGTGTTCGCTCGTATTGCCAGTGTTGTTTTATTAATTACCAAATCACTGCATTCCATTTTGTTTCGCGGAGTATTTGATACGGTAAATTTCGCGCGAATGAGCTTTAAACCCCACAAATGCAGGCTTGGGCTTCCAGATTATAGCCAAGAAAGTCAGTCAGTTCGTTTTTTAGTTGAACACACACTGGGTTTGTCCGGATTCTGGGGCTGACCGTCACAAGGCTTAGACTGCTGGGCTTCTGTGCACGTAAAGCCACTTAGGGTTGCAAACCGTTACTTCTCATAGAGACGTTATGCGGCTCTCGTAGAGACGTTATATTTGCGGCTCTCGCAAGAGCCGTTATGCAGAGAATGACGTTGAGCAAAGATTTTTTTTTCTTAAACATGGAATTGGTTTTTTTTAAATATATATTTAGTAATTTCTATTTTTTTAAAATAATAATCAATAACGCAGATAGTGTGTAGATGTGTCAGTGTTACATTTTATTTATATTTGTTCCAAAAATACCTTTAAAATTTCTACTTCAGTTGAACTTAATTTGGATCGCTAGACATTGGAAAAAAAATATCTACGTTTCTCATCAGGTCACTCACAGAATGCACGCAGCGACGCCAACCCCATGAAGCTGACGCCAACCAACAACAACCAGTTTCACATCCCTGACGCCATGTACTCAGGCGACGCTCGCGTCAGCAGTATAGTGGCCCTGCGACTCAAAGCCCAGGAACATACGGAGGCGATCAAGGCTTGACTCCACCCTGCCCCTCCCTTGTTGGCATGTTATACTTGAGTCTTTTGAACACTGGTTTGAACAGAGGAACTATTTATAAAAAATTTGTCTTCATTAATTAACTATACGAATCTTCATTTTTAAATATTAAATATTGTGATGTATATACATTATATATATATATATATATATATATATATATATATATATATATATATATATATATATATATATACATATATATATATATACATATATATATATATATATATATATATATATATATATATATATATATATATATATATATATATACATATATATATATATATGTATATATGTATACATATACACTTACATATATATATGTGTGTGTGTGCGTGTGTGCGTGTGTGTGTGTATGTGTGTTTGAAAGTTAACATTAAAATACACCCAATGTGTAAATACAATAAGAACTACTACGTAATAAAAAGAAGTTTCACAAAAGAACGAAAGGGAAAGATTTCATGTGGCGTTGGCTGGGCATAGAAGTCGATCTGCCAACGAATGACGCCATCTATCAGGTTGTGATTTTTATCTTCCACACACCCTGTCATCAGATGCCGTTTTTTTTTTTTGTTTTTTTTTTTTTTGGGCCCTTAGCGTCCTATTATATTGTCAGTGTAAAACGATGTTCAAAATAACGTCGTACATCTGCTAGACACTATCTGCGAGACAGAGGGCGAGAGAGAGGGATAGAAAACAAGAAAACGCCTATTTTTACAGATAGAAGTCTAGGTGTGAGTTCTGTGAAGTAACCAATCTTGCACGTTAGGGTAGCGGGTAGGGGCACAAAATAATATTAAGTGATAGGAATGTGCAGTGGGTTGAAATAAATTACTTTGTTTTATTGATGAATAATTATATTCATTTGGTACGCGTTTGTTATGATAGAATATAATAATTGCTTATTCGGTTATAATAAAAATTTAATTGCTTTAAAATAGAGAAGAGAAGTCGATTTTGTTTTATTCACTCTTCAGAAGTAGCTTAAGTAAAAAGTAACATTTTCATCTAAAGTAAAAAAATATATGTATAAAAACCCCTATCAAAAATAAAGGGATACTTGATTAAAAATGATAAAAATGATAATCTGTTAAATTAATCCACGATTATCCCTTGATGTAATCAGATCATGTTTTTTTTTTGTATTGTTTGATGAAATTGTTTTTGAGCTTTATTTTTCAAACATTAAATGAAAACCTCTTAAATATTGTTTAATGTTTGTTATTGTGTTTGTTAATAGTTTTTTTTTTGCTTGCTGGCATATTGCATGCGGTTATGTCTTTTATTTTTAAAAAAATGGATGGTACGGCCTATGTATGTGGTGTTTAGTAATACATATGATATTTCGATTAAGGAACCACATCTTAACATAATCAGCATTTTGTGGGCTTCACTTGGGTGAGCCACAACCACATCTTCACAAAGTCAGTTTTAAGCTCCCCTCCCCACTCCACCCACCCTCCTCCCTGTACTGGGCTGTTGGATTATTACGCTCGATTTAGATGGTAAACATTTGTACTGGATCTTTAGTGAGACCCTATACATGGACCTAAATGCCACGCCAAGTGCCCTACCACAACCACATGTTAAACCACATGTCATTCACCACTCGACAAACTTGGTGGAACAAAAAGTGGGCACCATGAAACAATCGATGTTACCTATTTAGATCAGCACTGACGAATGCGGGTGGTGTTAAGAGGAGGTGTGTGTGGGGGGGGGGGGGGGTAGGGTAGGGGGGGGGTAAGAACATCTTTGCTACATCTTTTGGTGACGTTAAGCTCGTGTCGCTTAACTAATGTTTACTATTTCCAATTTTTAGTTTTTAAAATCAATATGGAATACATATGCATTTATATATTGAGCCTACAGACATAGGGCCTATATAATAATATAATATACATAGGTTGTATAGGCCTATAGGTTTACACACGAGCATGTGTGAGGGGTAATTTTTTGAAAACCCCTTTTCCATATCCCACTCCTGGCTACGCCACTGCATAATACGGCCGTAATATTAGCAACTAACAACAACATAGGACGCAGATTTACTAAAATAAATCTCATTCATTTTATTCTGTGTAAAATTTTGTGTTTGATTTTGGTCAATCAGGTTTGATAATTGCTATTGAGTGAAATTTAGTTAGAGTACGAGCCCCTGATTCCATTTTGTCGTGCTTTTAAATATATTTTTTTAAGGAAGGGAAAGTTTTATTGTGCGTTTAAAAATAATGGGCCAACACATTTTCGTTTTTTTTAATTATTATTTATATAATTCATTTTGTTAATTAGGGTATGAACATTTTTATAATATCTACGATAATCGCCAAAGGATTGTTAAAAGTTTTAAAAGAGTGACTTCCCTTGTCTACTTAGCGACTCGTACATAGAAACGTATGTGTTGTCAAACAGTCGCCATTAAAACTAGGCTGTTGATTAAAGCAGACCGTGCAAGGAAACCAACATGACTTCCTTCGATGAACCCTCAATTTACAACTTACTCACTGTAGAAGAGACAAAACAGCAGAAGCCTAAAAAGTAAGTATGGTTAATGCAATGTAGGTTACACTAGGCCTAATTAAAGTAATTAATTAGGCCTATAGGCTTATTACTTATTTCTATAGTAGTAGTAGTAGTAGTAGGCCTACTTGCGCACATTTATCAAAAACCTGCTCCAAGTTGTCTACTGATCAGTGAGATCAGTGTAGATCTAGATCTAGACCTCTAGATCTAGTTATCAAGTACTGACTCACTCAGATAGCTTATTATGCCTCTCTCAAAGATAAGCAAACTAGATTTAGATCTAGATCTAGACTTAAATACTAAATAGCTTTACTTGAATCTTGAAATTATTAAAATATTTGGTAGGCCTATTATTTATTATTTAGTATTTGGGCCTAATATTTATTTTAATGTAATATAGGCCTAATTTTATTTTAGCACTGAATTTTTTAGTGGACTTGGCTCTACTGAGTCTATTTATTTCATATAGATCTAAATCTAGTACATACCTGTCACAAATTATACTACTTTATACTTCATATGACATATGGGAACTTGATCTAGATAGACTTAAATTATTATAATTAGGCTTTGGCCTAGCTATAAATTAAGCAAAAGGCCTATAATGAGGAATAGTAGATACCTATGTAGTATATAGTATAGGCCCTATATTATATGCTAGGCCTATATATAATAGAAACATATATATTATATAGGCCTAGAGAAATATATAAAGAAATATATACCCCATAGCCCTATATATTTATTTATTTAAAGGCCTATTTATTTATATACATTTTTATATGAGCCTGTAGTCTCTCTCTCAGATATATACAAAGGCCTAATTAATTAGTTGTCATTTAAATGTCATTGATCCAGTTGACTGAGAGGGACCTGAACACTGAACACTATTGTTCAGATGGACCAAAAATGTAATTTTGTACATTTTACTTCCATGAATCTACAGTATTTTTTAAAATTTAGAACTAAAAAAGCAATTAATTTTTTAAGAATCCATGTGGTAATACTGTGCTTTATTGATCAAATATATGCTGAAAACAAATCAGTTTGCACATCCATGATGTTTTTACAATGTAAGCTAAAAAATAAGAAAGTGTTGGCTTTTATATTTCCTTTACAGACAGCACCATCAGAAAATCCTAACTATTTCTGTTAGTATGGCTTTTGGGAAAATTACATTATGTTGTCCACAAACGTGTACTAGACATGCATTTTATATTGTAGTTAAACTTACAGTAAAGGGGATGTGAGAGTAATTCTGTTTATTCACACAATCATACACACACATACTTTTTCTGTTGCACATTTTTTGCATGCTGTCTATCATCACTGTATACTTACAATGTCGATTACTTTTTGTTTTCACAGATACACATCTAAATTTAGACCAAATGTTCGGGAAGAGTATGTTGCTGGGAGAGATGAAAGCAAAACAATGGGACCCGCTAAAGTCCCAGCACCTCAGCCCACAGACTATCTGAAAAAACATGAGAAAGAGCCACAACTTCCACAAAGTTGGTTTTTTCCTGTTATTTAATAAAATATGTAAAATGTATATCATTTATTTTAAACTATATATTAAAACATAATGAGCAAGACCTGGTAACTAAATGAACACACTATCATCCTTTATTTACTTTTAGTTATAATTACAATTTTTTTTTTTTTTTGCCATTTCTTTCAATTGATTTCAGTCGACTGATAAGTGTATATATTTTTAGCTTTGATAGGTGGAGTTTTAATGCATATGTTTCCTGGGGAAACATGATTTTGATATGGACCTGCCTGTTAAGAGATCATGCACAAAAAGAATATTTTTGACTGGCCACTTTCTTTCTCCCATATATTAAATAACATTTCCATATACCAACCTCCACACAACCCACATTTATATCACAAATCCAAAATCCACACCACTTCTTCCTCACCCTCAACCAACAAACACACACACAGAGTCCCCTTGTTTATTTTTATTTTTTTGGAGAAACATTTAACATGAATTGAACAATGTTTTTTTATATTTTCTTTTGAAGATGTAACTTGCCGTTTTTTAAGATGGCTAGATTCCCGGAATGTAATTGAAACATCTCAAAATATAGTACCAAACTGTGGTTGGTGATGGCGGGAGGGGTTTGTTCCTAGAAATTATAATATTTAGCTTGCGTTTTTTTTTTGGGGGGGGGGGGGGAGTCTATAACTATTTTATGCAACATTATATAGGGTATACCTGGGGCATACATGTTTTTAATCTGTTATAAATGTAGCCTACATAATCCCTAGATTGTCGCTTGAACTGTTCATGATATTTTGTGAAATAATGTCAGTGAAAAAAAATGTGTGGTGATTAGAGCAGCAATTTTGAAGTTATGATTAAGATTTTGTTTATTGTTACCTTTATTATTGTGATTAGAGTTGTAATTCTTTGCATTGTTTTGTGTTATTTTAAAATCTCTCTGTTGAGTAATTTTTGTATTAGCTTAATTTCACCTTTATCTTGATATTTTAGAGAAAGAGTTTCGTTATCCTGATGAGGAAAGGAAAAAACCAGCCATCCCAAAGAAGGATGAAGCACCACTGATGGGTTTAAAAACCAACAAGAATTTTATCAACACCAATGCAGTGGAGAACATTACAGCTGTCCCGAAGCAGCCCACTAAGAAATATGTGGACACAAGACATGGTGACACCCACAATTTAATACCATCTGGATATGAGCCTGTCTTTGTGCACAAAAAGGTAATAAACCTACATTTATTTTCTGTGATGCAAAAGTATTTTTTTTAAATATATATTTTGCTATATTTGTGTGGCAGTTGGATAAAACTAATGTGTATTGAATCTTAGTATTGATGGTTACAAACAAAAATTCAAGAATTTTTATACATTTCTAAGTAAATCATATGAACTCTTAATACCTACTTAGTTGTTGGTTGTTTTATTGTTTTACAAATTAACATAATGTGATGCTCAGAATGCCACTGATTATTTTAATGATCTTTTATCCATCAACCTACCTTTGTTTACTCTGTAGGACTTTGGAGAGGTTCCTGTTTACCTGGCAAAGCGTAAAGAGGAAGTTAAGCGAGCACAAGAGGAATATGATCAATACATTGCAGAGCACTTTAAACGTGGTGCTCTACGCCAGCTGACAGAGGATGAAAGGAAAGCTATACTTGATGGGCTGAAGGCTAACTGGGAGGACATCCAGGACCAGTATCAGAGCCTGTCTGTGGTCACTGATACATACCCCAAGAAGCAGAGAAAAGAACGAATGGAAGCCCAGATGAAACAGCTGGAGAGAGACATTGAATTGATAGAAAGTCACAAAATTATTTACATTGGTAATTGAACAGAGTAATAATGTATCTGTTTTTGTGATTTTAAAGTGATATCTGTTGTAGAGGAACTCAAACAGGCTATATTTTGTCTTATATTGTGTGATAATCACACATTTCATATTTGCGAAATGGGGTAAAAATATGCTAATCATGACGGCTATTAGCATGAATGTTAAGAAGAGAATTTTTTTTTAAAATAAACCCTTTTCTTTCAAATATAAGCCCCTATATAAGTTGTATTTTCTTTTTGAATGGGAATGAAGCCAGAATATATAAACAAAAAAAGAAATTGATTTTATTGTTTAACACAGAGTATTAAAAGCAAAAAAATGGTTTATACTTTTTAATTAAGATTACACACATTTTTATTTCTACATTTTACAACTTTTTAAAATTGTTTACATACAGCAATTATTATAAAATTTAGAGTTCTCTATTTACTTTCTAAAGTTATGTTTACACTGATATGATTTCTGTGAATAAATGCATAAATTAAAATATTAAAGTAAAAGTACTTTTTTGGTCTCGGTAGGTTTTTATTGTGACAATGTGGCTTGTGTTTGACAGCAAATGTGGTGTAGATTACCAGTTAAAATTGTGAAAGGTTGTCCATTACAACTTAAGTTGCTGTTGAAGTAGCTATGTGAGACTGTTCCAGCATACAGTTACCATCTGTTGAGTAGTAGCCAGTTACTTTGATTAGAAAACAGAAAAAAAAGATAGGAAACGTTTTTCTAACCAACCATTATTTTGTGGCAGAGGTTATTCAACTGTTGGCAATGGACTAGCTAATAACACTTAAATGATGTGGACATTTTGATCAATACTACTGTCAGCTATTATAAATTCCACATTTTATTTAAAATAAAATGTCTTGAGACAGATGACTCACCCACTCTGATGTAGAGACTTATAAAGGCATCTTTAGAATCATACAATACAGATGCCTAGCCTATATACACTAACATTTATTAAATGAGCAGAGCAACACTTAAGGCTAAGTATTTGATTTTTTAGCTTTAACACTATTTTAGTATGCTAGAATGTCCTTTAAATTGACCTTTTTTAAATTAAACTTAAATTAGCTTAAGAATGCAAACACAAGTAAATCAATAAAATGTTAAAAAACAACAAATATTGCAACAAAATTATTTATTTAAACAGCTTTTACATCTACATTTTAGCACCTCAAGTTTTGACATAACATTTCAAAACAAACTTTAAAAATCATGAACATTATTACAAACGCATGTTCACATTACAATTATTACAAATAAAACAGACTGGTAGACTGAATCAATTGTTTCTCAGATTTACTAATGCTCTTATGCTGAATCTTAAGGAACAAAACTGTATCAACATTAATACTTTCAAAACTACTGCAAGAGCACAACACATCAGAGAGTAGGCAGCTAGTAGCTAGCAGTCTTTGATGCTTGTTAGCATAGTTTCCATGGACTTACATTAACTACTTTTTCTGGTCTTTAACAACTTATTTTTATTTAGCGTATTGTGTTCGAGTAAACAATGTGTCTTTATATTTGTTTTGTTGTTCTGCATTGTTTTGGTTATCACATGGTGATAACAATTAAGTTGTGTTTGTAAAAAAATCTGCATTTTATATTAGTATATAAAGCGTATTTGATTGAAACAGGCCTATAATTTAAGGATTTTATTGGGTTCAATTATTTGGGGTTCAATTATTTTTACATGTAATTATTCTTAATGTAGGCCTACTTTTTATGGCATTGTCATGTTTTCTTAGGGAGAGGTGATAATGGAGCTAGAGGCTGAAAGGATTAATTACAAGACAGAAGCATAATCAATGGGCACATTTTCTGCACACAATTGTTGTCTATTAACTATTAATATGCGTTTTAAACAGTTCAGATTATTATGGTATTTAACACACAAACTGAAATACATTTACAAACGTTTAAATCCAAAGCTTGCAAAAAAAAAAAAAGAATCATTTAATTTCTTTCCAGCAGAATATAGGTGAGTACTTGAATGTAAATGACTTAACTCTAAAGTTTGTCAAGGTATTGAATATCATGACCATGGCACAACTCAATGTTTTAGTAAAACTTTACAACAAGAAGAGCATTATTAATATTATTAAATAATACTGTGGCAATCGTAAAATATACATATATACAAACATTTTTTACGTCAATTATATAAAAATTACAGTCAGATATGAAGAAATTTTTTTATACAAATGTGAAAATTAAAATGGCAGACAAAAAAGTTAGTATGTGCCTTTCTTCTCACAGACTTGTGCGGCAAAATATTCAGAAGAAGCATCTTTTCTTTAAACTTCTATTCATGAGGTTAAAGTAATAACTGTGTACCACACTATTTCAGACATCCAACTCTTCTTTGAAAGACATGCTTATCGCTTCATTAATTGAAGTACTTGGTTCTGGGGTGGCACTTGTGCTTGCATCACTACCAAATTCAGTCTTAGGTTTATAGCTGCGCATTTCCCGTTCATATCTTTCTTTTTCACGTTCATACATTTCATAGTAAATCTGAGAAACAAAGAAAGGCAGCTACAGAGAGACTATAATAATTTCAAGACAGTTAAAAATAAAAATTAAAATTCTACCAAAATAAATCAAGCATCAGTTAGTGAAATGATTGTTGTAATGGTCAAAATAAATTATTTTCAATCAAACAGGTCATTACTTGCATTAACTGCACACTAAATTAAAAGTGAATACAGATTTTTTTTTAGCAATTATTATACAATCTATAAGGAACTGAGAAGATAATACCTAATTCAAAAATGCTAGCCCTGTTATCTAAAGGATCATCTACAGGCTGATGTGCAATAGGCAACATTTAATATAGATACGGTTACATCCCGTACACAACAATAGTAAATACACAATTATTTTCTTCCTACCCATTACAGTATATAAACAAATGTATTTAGCAGCATGATTTTCCAAACTGGTATACATGTTCCAGCAAAACATGGTCCCATTCAAAAAGTAAATCAAGCATAATGACATTAAAAATTAAGTCCCATTTATTTAGTAAATCAAAGCTCAACCTAAAAATCTTTCACAGAGCCAGCCACAGTTGGTGACTATAAGTTTCACCCACCCAGAGCTGAGCCTAGAGAGCAGCATCACTATGACAGGTCTACCTCTAGTGTCATGTGTAAGTGTATTAGGTGATAGCAGTCCAGTTTATGTCAAAGGTCAACATACCAGAGAGATGACATACTATAACAATCTCCTTTTCATTCCCTTATGACTGAAACAATTATTTATCTTCTGGTTTAAAAATAGCAACCCTTCAGACAAATGAACACAAACTGATGATGCAGGGGATTTCAGATAAAAGCTTCTGTAAGAAAACTGACCCTTTTCTCCTCTGGCACAAGTGCATTCCACTGCTGAGCTAAAGACTTGGTAAGTTCATGGTGGGCGATCTCTTCGTTATGCTCCTGGATTTCAAGAAAGAAATTATTAGTAGTTTGGTTTTTCTATAAAAATTCTATTGTTTAATGAGATGATAGACATCTGTACACAAATTTGACACAATCACTAAACTACAGCAACAGTGTTTCTCATGACAAAAAGAAAAATCTTTTGTCAATGATATAAAACTTATATTAACCAACCTTGAAGTATTCTTCTTGTAAAGATGTGCGTTGTGTTGTGCAAAACATAAGAAAAGCATTTGCAGGTTTTTTGGGGGCGTTGGGGTCCTTTTCTTTGTCAGTTCTGATCTGTTGTCAAGATAAATAATTACATTTATTTGTGATGAGAAAAATGTTTCAAACACTATATACGAAATAAAAAGCAAATAAATATGTAAAATAAGAAAGTTTTGCACAAGTTTTAAAAGGCAATAGCAATTGCTCTGATTTTAAAATTTGATCTACATAACTTCCATGCACTTTTGCATCAAATTACAAATATTTTAAAAGCAGAGATTTCATATGTTTATCATGTGGTAAAAATTATTTTCAGCATCATCTAACTATAAATTTACCGTTAAAATTTTTCTATATGTTCTTATTGATTTAATGAGATAATATATTCCACACCAAATTTACCATTTGTTATTGTGTACTGAAATATTGCATTTTACAGTTGTTAGGCAACTCTTTGTGATTAAAAAAATACATAATTAATATAGTTTTAAAGAGTTTAGAAATTTCTGAATTGTACTACAACACATACAGATGGTAAATTAAAATTTTACAATTATACTACTATATTCATAAATCAGGCAAATCAGACCCAGTATTATACAATAAATCAAGGGGAAAAAACAAGGCAATATAATGCTAATTGTTTTAATGTATCAAACTTGTACTACAAACTACATGCTCATTTGTTACTAAACTAATTACCTTTCTTGACTTGGCTTCAAAGCCTCCAAGACCATGAGCTTGTAAGAGAGGTTGAATAGAGGATAAAGCAGACTTATGTTCTAATCTACCCCTTCCTTCTGTTTCAGAATCTGACCCAGCGCCCTGAAAAATTCCACTTGATCTTATGCTGCCATATAACTGGTCTTCCTGAAATTCCAACATTTTATTGCACAAAGGGTTTCTTTTTTATTCAATTTGAAAATAAATGCTAAACCTCCAGGGTAATTTTGTATTTGCAACTATAATTTAACCCTATTAATTGTGTATAAATCATATATGGTACTGCAATGAGAGCAGGATGGATGAGATGTCTGAAACAGTCCCAAAAAAGAAAAAGGCATCTTAAGAATTCTTGCTGAATCACTAGTAGACCAATACTAAAACACATAGCAAAATCAACACAATCATGCATTCTTGTGAAAGTAACTAACACTTTCCTGTTATATACACTAAATTTCAATTATACCTATTTAACTATTTATATAATGTATATATATATAATTTGTGACAAACTTGATTCGGGTAATATAATACTTTTTTCATGACTCTTTTGCTTTACAATAGAAAGAAAATATTACCTCCCACATTAGAGGAACTTGAACATCTCTAAAGTTGTCCCCAAGCTCATCAAGTCGTGTGGTCAAATATCTAAAGCAGCATTATTTTGAAATGTAGATATGACAATATTTTAGAATACTTCCTTTGAGATTGGATTAATCAGCTATACAAAAAAGATATGTTTGTTAATTACTTGAAAATAAAATGTCATTACTATATTTTAATTTTTTTTTAAATTAAAGGTTTTCATACTCAGGAAGGATGTCAATACTCTCCATGAACATTGACAAAATACAAAAACAAAACTTAGAAATAACATAATCTAAATCACAGAGCAAATACTATATTTATATTGTAATGATTAGTGGCACATTAAAGTTGATTAGTGTTCTAATTGTAAGCTTAAATCAGGCTTGCCTATAACTGTTTATATTCAAGTGTAATAATTTGTCAATATTGTAAAATTTCTAAGAAAACTGCGACCCTGTAATATTATCTTACTACAAATAAAGTAAGACACTGGGTTCAGGGTCTTCTTTGAAGCAGTATCCTCCCCTACGAACAGAACTTTAACCTCACAGAAAAGAATTTACCAACCTTTTATCTCGTTTGTATCTTTTGATGAGCTTTTTAACATGCTGAATTCTGTTGACCATTTTTTCATTAGACTGAAGAAAAAAAAAGTATACAATTACAATATCTAAATTTAGTTACTTAGAGTCTAAGAAAATCAAACATTGAGAATATTTTCACTTATGTAGGCTAAACTTTAAAGAAATATAAAAAAGTGTCTATTCCCAGAGGGCTATTCCCAGTCTGAACTATTTTCTCTACATTTTATGTTGAAAATGCCTTGTAAAATAGGAAGAAGGGTGCTGAAATGGAATGATTAGTGACTTGCTTGTTGGATGTTGTGGGCTCGACCCATCAAAGGTCTCTTCCATTTGGAATTTTAAGATGGTAATTGACTTAACTCTTTAAGACCGTATTGACGCTCCCAACGGTCGACAGGCCGGCCTGCCATACCGTAACAACGCTCCCAGCGTGATAAAATTTTCTCTATTTAATTCGTTGTTTTTCAGAATCCAAGTTTATAATCGTAAATCTAGGTAATGATAACGCTAGAGCGGACATTTTTTGTTGTATTTACTTCTTGTAGTTTTCTCGTTAGGTTGATTTTGTATTTTATAGAAATTTTTTTTGTAAAACAAGTCGCAAAACTGCATTTTTTAACACTGCGGAATGCCGATCAGCGGCCGCGTCCTAACTTTTATGTCACCGCATTATAAAATTAACCAAAATTAAAGTATTTATACTAAGACTAATCTGATCCATGATTTTTGTAGAAAAATGGACGTACTTAAATTTTCTATGAATAAGAACTCATGAAAAGTAACTCTTATCATTAATTTTCCTGAAAGAAGTGTATTTTTTGCCTGAAAAAATCAATTCTTTATTTTTTCTTCTCTTAAACTAAGTAATTATCTTTCTTCAATAAATAAATAGGCCTAATTACTTAAAATTTATATCAGTGGGTAGGGCGTTCAATTACAATTGATTTATATCAGTAATGTGTGGGGTTTAAATCAACGGGTAAAAAGATATGGGATGTTTAGCCGCAAGGGTACTGAAAAACAAATGAGTGAAGAAAAAAAAATTCCGGTAAAACATGAAAATAATTAACAATTACGGGTTTGAAGAGTTAAATTAGTAGTAGGCCTATTAAGCCTATTAAGTCAAAATTAACTACTTTAGCTTTAGGGTTCATAATTAATCTATCTACGTAACAAATATGAACATAACTTGAAAAAATCATAGGCTCAAAATACTTTTTCTTTTAAAAATGTAGGTGACCACAATAAAAAATACGAAGTGACTACCTGGAAAAAGATTTTTCGGCAGAAAATACAAAACTCAATATTTTTGAGGAGGCGCAGTGACCTTAATTATAAGTTAATAGCTGCACTAGGGCACTAGGGTTAGTGTTCTGCTGTTTGTTTGTAAACACGCGCATGCGCAGCATCCTCAAAAACATCGGCGAGAAGGAGGTAGTTTCTCTCCATTGCGCATCTTTATGATCTTTTTCCAGCTAGAATCGGCCTAAAAAATACCACTGCTCTCACTCACAAAAGCTATGCCTTCCTCATTCCCCAGCCATGATAAATGCTATTCATCTATTAGATCTAAATTATTCCAACTCGTAAAACAAAACAAAAGAAAAAGGGAGACTGAAGACTGAAAACATGTGACAGTGTTCATTCAAGTCAAGGTGTGTTGTCACCACACACTCACACAGCACAGGACTCAGGACGTTAGTTAACAAAAGTTAGGATCGAAATGTCTAGCGACAATTTTGTTTAGAACTGGGGGTGGTAAATATAAATATAACATAATTACTTGTTGCAACTGTTCACATTTTTTTCTTAATGCGAAATACTTTTTAAGAAAAGAAGTTTCTTTCGAAATAACTTCAAGTTGAGCTTTGAGATTCGCCGTATCCTCTGGTTCGGCCATTTTGACCGGAACTCTTTACATGATTATTTGCTAGATTCTATAGTAAACTCCCTTCCTTTCTATAATTTTATTTGGGAAATATATATATACTTTTACTAGTGTCTGGCCACCCCCCCCCCCTCCCCCAAAGTCTAAAAGGAACACTGCTCGGAACACATAGATCTACACTTGTTCTCATATACAGAACTTGACATTTTCGGGTGGGGGGGGGGCGGACACTGTTAAAAAAATATATTTTCGTTCGGGGGGGGGGGGGGGGAGTTTGATAATTAATGTAATAGAAAGTGATCAAAATACTTTATGTTGACCGAGAAAGAAATCGATGTTTAAAACAAAAATTAAACGATTTTGATGAGGTATTGTAGGCAAGGTTGTGACTTTATTGGCGATGGGGTCTGTCTTTTTGTGACGATGTGTATAGGAGGGGAGGGTGAGGTAAAAATAGTCACAAAAAAGCGTGGCAACACGCGTCATATACGGATGACCACCAAAGATCCATATAAACTTGTTTGTATCATTCATGAACAGAAAAAAAAAGAATAGCATGCTGATGCGCCCAATATAGCAGTGATGGATTGGAGATTCTAGGAAAAATATCTCAAGAAATGAAGTCACAAAACAAGGTTATTGAGTCACTGGAAAAAAGGTCACAAAAGTTATTTTTTTAAGAATTTAAAAGGAAAACTTTCAGAGAAAATACATTCAATTTACTTGGACGTTACATCGTCTAGACTCTAGAGAATAAAAACAACTTCGTCGTAAGTTAGTTTATAAGAACATGGTATGTATAGATCGGGGGAGGGGGGGGGGCTTACTTATTGCGTTACGTCCGAAAATTAATAGTGTCTACTTTAATAGCCTTACTTACTGAAAGTAACAATGCATGAAATAGATCTATATATATAAAGCAAAGTGGTCGGGTGCCCGATAGGGCACTTCCCGGCGCCGCAGGCGCGTCAAATTTGGCACGATGGTGCCTTGAGGCGATAGAACACGAGGGCCGGTGACGGTTCGCCGAAAAGTCTACGGAGAGGGGGTCAAAACTGACCTCGACTGACCGGCGCCTTATATGGGCTATATTACGAAAAAAAAATTCCTCCGACGACCCCCCTTGAAATTTTGTGAGGTGGTAGGAGAACGCCTTGGGGTGTCACAAAAAACTCGGCATATCTGGGAAAACTTCGTAAAGGGGTCAAAACTGACCAGTTGTATTTCCCTATATAATCTTTGTATTTTATGGGAAAAACAGAGGGTCATTTCAACGCAGACTTTAGGGTACTTAAACTCAGTATATCTGGCTAATTTTTTGCATACTCTTAGGTCAATGGCTTGACCTTTAGGGAAAACTATCGGTTTGACTCAAAGCCCTCGACGAGGGCTAAAAAGTGACCGCGAGTGAAATTCTCTTTATATGAGCTATATTACGAAAAAAAATTCCTCCGACGACCCCCCTTGAAATTTTGTGAGGTGGTAGGAGAACACCTTGGGGTGTCACAAAAAACTCGGCATATCTGGGAAAACTTCGTAAAGGGGTCAAAACTGACCAGTTGTATTTCCCTATATAATCTTTGTATTTTATGGGAAAAACAGAGGGTCATTTCAACGCAGACTTTAGGGTACTTAAACTCAGTATATCTGGCTAATTTTTTGCATACTCTTAGGTCAATGGCTTGACCTTTAGGGAAAACTATCGATTTGCCTCAAAGCCCTCGACGAGGGCTAAAAAGTGACCGCGAGTGAAATTCTCTTTATATGAGCTCTATTACGAAAAAAAATTTCCTCCGACGACCCCCCTTGATATTTTGTGAGGTGGTAGGAGAACACCTTGGGGTTTCACAAAAAAGTCGCCATGTCCGGGAAAAATCGGGAAAGGGGTCAAAACTGACCAGTCGTATTTCCCTATATAATCTTTGTATTTTATGGGGAAAACAGAGGGTCATTTCAAAATGGATTTTAGGGCACTTACCCTCTTTACATCTGGCTAAGTTTTGGCATGCTTATAGGTAAATGGCTTGGCCGTAGGGCAGACCTGTCGGTTTGACTAAAAGCCCTCGACGAGGGCTAAAAAGTGACCTCGAGTGAAATTCTCTTTATATGAGCTCTATTACGAAAAAAAATTTCCTCCGACGACCCCCCTTGAAATTTTGTGAGGTGGTAGGAGAACGCCTTGGGGTGTCACAAAAAACTCGCCATGTCCGGGAAAAATCGGGAAATGGGTCAAAACTGACCAGTCGTATTTCCCTATATAATCTTTGTATTTTATGGGGAAAACAAGGTAATTTCTACACAAATTTTAGGGTACTTACTATTTGTATAACTGGCTAATTTTTTGCATACACCTCTATAGATGACTGGGCCGTATGGAAAAACTGTTGGTCAGCATCAAAGCCCTCGAAGAGGGCTAAAAATGACTGCGACTGAAATTCTCATTATACGAAATTTGGTCATTTGGTCTATGAACAGGGGCGGTAACTTTTTAATGTAACAATTTTTTAATATTTTGTATACTCTTTTTAAGCAAAAGCAAAAATCATAATGTATAGCATTGTTTTAAATGGATATTTTGTTATAAAGTAAGTTTTGTATTGTATTGAAATTGTAAAATTAATTGCAAAAGTAATTTAATATTATATTTGATTAATAATTTTTATGAAAGCCCTTTCAGTTCTAATAACCTTGCGAGTAATAAGTTTGCGAATATTCCATCAATTTATGGGCACAATAAAAGTAAAGCTGATTCATTTTATAATCTACTTTTCAAGAAAATGTCTAGTCTGGTTAAATGTTCCATGAACAGAATTGCACCATTGGTTCGCACAAATATCACACAGAAAGCGACATTTCTTTCAGGCCCTCAAAAGCATCCATCGTCCTTCGTGAGCAAAATTACTGTTGGAGGAGGCATGTGTTTGACGATTGTTGCCCCCATGTTCTGGATAATGGCAAACATCAAGCACTATAAGAATCCTGATGGAGTTGCACAAGATGATCGAAGAATAATAATTCTGTTGTGTTTGAATGAATAGCAGACAGAATGTTAACATTTTGATGAAAAAATCACAAATCTGAAATCAGTGTGATACAATTTTCCAGTTGATACTTATTAAAATGATTGATTTTTACATTTAAAAAAAAAAAAAAAAAAAAAAAAAAACTAAGCATTTAACATAACAGTACAGCCAATCACCTATTAATTAATCATTCAATTTCTCAACTTTTTTGAAAACCTAAGCGAAGCTAGGCAGTATGCCTAGTGTATAAATATAAATAAACAGTGCGTTGTCATCGTAGGCTTATTCAAATTTATCTAGAAGTGGGTTACAAATAGTTACAATTAAGTTACACGATTTGCCGAGCATTACAGTATAAAAAAACCTTTAGCTTAATTTATCACATATTAATGGATGAAGGACATTACCATCCCCCCAGTCAATTATCCCCCCTCCCCCCCCCCCAGTGCTTCTTCCAGACTTTCTTCTCTGAGGGTGCACTAGACCCCCTACGAAAAATGTTGTCGTCCCCCCCCCCCCCCCCCCCGAAGAGATGCCTGGAAGAAACTCTGCCCCCCGCGTTAGTACACAGAGTCATTACCCCCACCCAGTAACACATTAACACCCCTTCTTCCCCCTCCCCTCCCGTCAACTTAGGATAGGCCTATAAGTGTATCAGATGAAGACGAATAGGAATAGCGATATGTATAGGCATAAGGGGGTCATCCATAAATGACGTCACGCTTTTTTGGGACGCTTTTTACCTCCCCCCTCCCCTCCGTCACACATCGTCACAAAAAGCCAGACCAGAGTTTCTTCCAGGCATCTCTTCGGGGGGGGGGCGGAGATGGATTTTATATAGTAAACATACACTTTTACTAGTGTCCCGTCCCCCCCCCCCGAAAAATGTTGACCGCCCCCCCCCCCCCAAATTTCAAGTGCCCCCCCCCCCCCCTCCCGGAGAAAAAAGTCTGGAAGAAACACTGAGCCAGACCCCCATAAAATGACGTCACCCCCCCCCCCCACACACACACACAAAATTGCAGTTGACTTGATATTTTTCCCAAATCTTGTCTGAACTCTGTCAACATAGAGTGTTTTAATCAATTTCTATTACAATTTATTGACAGTTTTCTAAAACGCGAAATAATGGCTAAATTCGTTTTCTGGCATCGCTTTTTTTATAATACAAAAGTGTGACGTCGTCGAGATCACACCATCTGAACAACCCCCTCTCACTCCCCCTCATCACACACCGTCACATAATTACGGACCTCCCTCCCCCCTACTAGTGTGACGTCATTTATGGACGACCCCTAAGACCTAAGTGTATTCCAAATAGATGAAATTCGGTTTACCTGTAATCAAAATATCAGTTAAAATACTTTTGGTAATGTTGGTTGACTCTTGTGAAGGTGTGCATTGTTGATGTAAATGTGTTTATTTCCGATTATATAGTTACACCAACACAAATTTACATTTCAAAACATATACACTCGTTTTTATTCTTGTCTGCTATTTTGCATTTAAATTTAGATAGAAACACGCCAAATAAGTATTTTCCCACTTGAAACATAGGTTTAGGTTTGGGAAAGGGGATTTGAATCAATTAGACTAGTGCGAGATTTTTCTTTGAGTGTTTTCCCTTACATTTTTTTCATTGATTGCCAGGTTGAACTTGCTACCATTTTAAACAACAACTAAACCTAACAATTATCCCTTTTTGTTATTCCAAAGAGAACTTTATTTTAGTTTTGAAATTACCAAACATCTTTATCTGTATATACTGCACAATTTAAATTTTGATATATATAACAACTAACTGAAAAGAAAAATTAACTAATTTAATATCGTGAATTGGCATAGAATGTTTTCAATAAAATTAAACCATTCTAAATTTAGGTCTACAACATGGTTTTGAGAAACTGTACTTAGAAGTTGACTATGATCATCAAAGAGAAAACGCAAATAAAGACAGACTATCTGCTTCGACTGGCATAATGGGAAGGAAAAAAATTAAGAGTAAACAAAGTAGGCCCAAAATGCCTGGGTTTATATGAATAAATATAGGCATACATTTTTAGAATATTTAGTAGTGCCCTGGGCCCTGTACTGTGTACTCTGTCAGGCCTGTTCTGGCTGTTCTCTGTTTAGTTATTCCACTATTCCACTCTCTGTTAAGATTTTAGAATTTAGATTCAAGTGCCATTTACTATTTAGTCAAGTGACTCTAATTTATAGTCGTAGTCTTACTCTTAGATTTTAGAATGATTAGAGATAATCTAGAAATGATCAGTATCAGAGTCAATTCAGTCAACTCAGCAAAGTGTTAAGTCACTTAAGTGAGATAGGCCTTACCTGCCCATAGGCCATAGATACTTTAGATAGGCTAGGCATTCAGAATATTTCAGTATGATAAAGAAAAAAAAATTAAATTAAGGCTAGGCCTAAATTAATAATACAGTAGGGGTGAGCAGGCCTAAATAGTAAATACAAATATGTCTAGATCTAGTAGTAGGCATACATTTTTTTTAAATAATTAGGAAAATCAGATTCAAGAGAGCCAAAGCAAAGACTAAGTTATAAGTAGTTATTAAGGCCCCTTGCTTTTTGGGTAAATTTTAACTTTTAAGATAAAATTAGAAAAAATATATTTGGCACAAAGATCTAGATTCTAGGTTTACTTTTTAAAATAGTCTACTTGCTTATCCAGAACTACCATTTCAAATCAGCAAGTAAGCCTAACATTATTAGCCTAACACAAACGGGTGTGGGGAAATTGCGAGACGCGAAAAGCGAAATGGCGAGGCGGGAAAATGCGAGAAGGGCGCGAAAACGGTCGGTCACGTGACTTTTTTGTCTCGCATTTTACCACAAGCCGATCCTTACGCTGGGTGGTGTTGAAATGCGAAGATTTCTGCGAAAAATTTACCGCACCCGATTTTCAGTGGTATTTGGTCCAGACTTCAAAGACGTTTCGTTTACATTGTTAAAACTTCCGATTTTTCCGTGGCTAGACATACTGATGATTTGTCAACTCCCCCCATCTTTTGTGTCGACTTAGAATACCACCTTGTTCGAAACCGACGGAAATACCGCCGACGATAGATCAACTTCTGTCTTTTGTGTGGAACGCCGAGGCCGCCTGATTTACCGTCTTTGAAGATCGCCGTGCCCGGATCCGCTGCCGACGCAAACATATTTTCTATTGTTGCATAGAAATTTTGTATTATAGCCGCCGCCTACGATTTTTTTCTAGCTTTTTTTACCATATAAATCTAAGCACAAGGAAATGCCTACATCATTTGGATACAACAAAATAAAGTGACGTCACCGATATTATCAGTTGCTCGTGCTATATCGTAAGCTATAGGCCCTACTTCAAATATTTTTAAAACCAAGTTGAACGTATCTGAATTTTTTGGTTTTGGTGGTGGTGTTATTTGGGGTCTTCCATAAATGACGTCACACTCGTAGGGGGGGGTCTGTAATTTTATGACGATGTGTGATGAGGGGGAGGGGGGGGTTAGATGTGAAGTCACTCTATAAAAAAGCAATGTTAGAAAAAGAATTTTAGACGTTTTTCGCGTTTGAGAAAACTGTTTTCATAAATTGTAATAGGAATTGATTAAAATACAGAAATTAGACAAGATTTTGGGAAAATATCGATGTTTTAAAAAAAAATTCAACTGCAATTTTGAGGGGGGTTGTAGACTGAGGTGTGACGTCATTTTAGTGGGAGGGAGGTCTGGATTTTTGTGAAAATGTGTGACGGAGGGGAGGGGGAGGGGGGTAAAAATCGTCATTTATGGATGACCCCTTTTAGCTATTAAATGGTAGTTTTGTCCATATGGGACTTTATTCAGATTATCTACAGACGCACATTTTTTCCATTATGTTCATATTCGTGTTCTGTGTTAGCGCAGTATAAATGGGAGTCTAATGAACTGGTGGGTTGGATGTACTATGTGTGAAAGATGGTGTGACGAGGTGTGTTTGATTAATGCTAGGACTGTTTCAGAAGATTTTGTTTGTAAATTTTGTTTGTAATTAAAATTACTTAATAAAAAATAAATTACACTTTTAAGAATTGTTTATACTTTTACACTTTTTGCAAGTACAACAATCCACGAATACATGTTGCAGAATATCTCTCCTGCTGACAAAATTATACCAATTCACAATGACACAGCTCACGTTTGTATAAACATGAGCGGGCTAGATTTTTAAAATTAATGCCGACTGAAACGGGATTTTCCTCTCGCTAACGAGAGCGGGCGATGACAGTAGCACAGCAACGATGTTAGGATTTTTTAATAGATCTAGATCTAGATATAGATCTATCTATCTTCTTAGTATCTATCTATCTATATATATATATATATAATAAAATCTAGATAAAAAATAACAACATACAACACTCGTGTTAAAGGGTATAGCTACATGCTAGTTTATTTAAAAAAAAAATAATTTAAATAAATAAAGATGAAATAAGCATGCAAAAAACTTATTTTCGCAAAAAGTGTCTCGCTATTTACCCTTGATTCCGCAGGTATGTCTCGCATGATCTTCTCGCATTTTCCCGCCTCGCCATTTCGCTTTTCGCGTCTCGCAATTTCCCCACACCCAACACAAACAATGCCCACCATTTACTGTTCAAGTGGGACTTCTCATTATCTCCCATTGGTACCCGAATAAACTGAGGCAGATGAAGTAGATTTTTGTCTGTTTCAATACTAGGGATCTATGTGGTCAGAACTATGCCCATCCTTCTTTACTTTACATAACGAGGGTCAGGTTTTAATCAGAGCGGGTTGGGCTCCGGGACTTCTTCTACAGACTTGAGCCTAGGATCCAAACCTGAGACTTTCAAGGTGGCAGTCGTAAGCTCTACCACATTTCTACCATCTGAATACACAGTCCATTTAAGTAGGACTATATAATAATCAATCATATATAATAAACGACATAGTAGACTCAGTAGGGGCTAGATTCTCTCGTCATTCTTGTCTACAGTCTTACACAGTGACAATGACCTGAGTACACTACCACTACTTTCTACTTTGTTAGACTACTTTAGTAGAACTGTAGTCAGATGTTTATCTGAATTTCAAATTGTTCTAGAGATCTAGATCCAATTAGTTATATTAACCTATTGCTATTCAGTATCCCTTTGCAAAAAAAAAAAGTAGACCTAAATTGGACTAAATCTATTTTTTACAAGCTTATATTTATTTTGCAATGTCTGTTTGGGGCAAATCTTGTAACTCAATTTTGCAGCTTTTTTCTTCTTCTTCTTCGTTCTTAATTATTAGTGTTGAAGGGGATCGAGATTTATCTGCCAGTGCGTTTGAACTCGAGACTTTGTTCGAATTTATCAACCATGAGCTTTTTGCCGACTCGACCACGCCTCCAACACAATTAAGCGTTACGTGTCAACTGGTTATGCGCCATTGAGGCCGTTGACTCCGATTTCAGCCTGCTTTTCTTTTTGGATTTGCTTCCATAGCCTTTGTCCAACCAAGAAAAAACTACAAGGCAGCAGTTGTTTAATTTTGGAGTTGTCTCTCCTAGACGAGTGGCTGTCCCCAGCTAACGAGCCTCATCTGCCCGAGGGTTCGAACTCGGGACTTTTCGGTTTAGCAACCATGAGCTTTTACCGACTCGACCACGCCGACCCCACTTTCAAACTTTCCAAATATGTTCCACTTCGATGACAATACAAGTCTAATTATTTTTAAATTTGATTAAATGTTTAAATAGCCATTAAAGATTAATTAAAGTGGTGTGAAACTTAGGGAGCTAACAAAATTAAATCACTCGATAGATTATTATATTCAATAACATAAGGGGAGATAAGTAGCCAGAAGCTATCACCCGACCAGTCTGGTGAGCTTTGGTTCACACCCAATGTTTACAATCGTAGAGCCGGCCGATCTAGTGAAAGCTATTAAGGGCAGATAATAAAGTTTTTAAGGAGAGGTAAAAGGTTTAGAACTTGCAGTCGTTTGTAAAAAATGATCACGGGCGACTGCATCCCAGAGACAGATTATTGTCTTTCAGATATTGCGAGCTACTCATGGTGTTTTAAAGCAAATATTTTTAGTTGTGTTGACTTCATAAATTAGGAATCACTAAAAAGTAGAAAATAATTTTTAAAAATACTTTATAGCAACAAGCTTTTAAATGCACTAAAAATAAGAAAATAAAACTATTTTTTTTTCTTCATAAAAGCGTTGGTCGCTCCTGAGATCTTTTACATATGTTAGCAACAAAAGCTTTTATGATAGAAAGCAAATTAGTTTTATTTTCAGTGCATTTAAAAGCTTGTTGCTATAAAGGTTATTTTTATTTTTACTTTAGGCCTACTATAGTATTTAGGGACATCATAGTGGAATGGTAGAGCATTTGGCTTCTAGCCTGAAGGTCTCAAGTTCGGATCTTGGTTTGCACTTGTGACTGTTGGACTTACCTGAGTTCTCCCGGCTGTGATGAGTACCTAACTTACATTGGGGGAAGTAAAGTTGTCTTGGTATAGTGCCGACCACCCCATCCCTTTATATGCCAAGGTCAAGAAATTAAGAACTCTACTTCATCTACCAAATGGATTGCTTGGTATAATAGGAATCTTTACTATTGTTAGTAGGCTCTATTTGCATAGCGACAACTAGACTAAACAACATTCATCACAAGTTAACCAAATTTTTATCTTATATTTAATTTGGTCATTTTATGCCTATTTCAACTTGTTTGGCAGTAAACTGACAAGCGCTGCTTTTGTCAATTTTCAAAGTAAATTAGATTATTTAAATAATTCTACCTAAGAATATATCGGAAATAATTCAAGGAATTAAGAAGAAAATTAAGAGCACCAGACCATCGCATAATATTTAAAATTTTGGTTACCTACATTCATTCAGTTCAAAATAAATCCATATCTAAATGAAAAGAGGTAAAAGAAATCCATGAAATTCACAACAGGTCTAATACACAAAGTTGTCACAAAATCATAAATCCATATCTAAATGAAAAGAGGTAAAAGAAATCCATGAAATTCACAACAGGTCTAATACACAAAGTTGTCACAAAATCATATAAGCACATAGTTTGTAATCATTGACATGTCAGTGAGTAATGCATAATAATACATTTTTAGCCTTTAGGATTCTTATTAATCATAATCTCTTAAATGTGATATAATCTGAATCATGTTTGTCTTTCATTTAGATCATGTCATCCTGTGATTTATTTTTTAACTCATTTTTCCCTTGTGGCTTACACTTATTCATTTATATTGTATACATGTCTATGATTACAAATTTTTAAGGTAAGAAACCAAAAAATATCAAAAAGAATTCTAAAGCTGTTCAAGATGAGAGCCAAAGACAAACCAGCAATTCTGACCTGCATTCAGTAGACAAATTAATTAGTAAGGTTAGTAAAATTAAACTTACAAATAACTACATGCCTGTTCTATAAATGATGTTGTAAGTGTTGGAGGGGTGGTTTCTTAATCTTAAAGCTATACAGAGTCCACATTTGACTAAAAATGGAATTACCTCATTCTTATTATTAGCTCCCTTTACACACAACTGCAACCTAATTAATTTATGTTTACTTCATAAGTTACTAACACAAGAATATATTAATTTTCATTTATCTTTTTTTTTTTTGGCATTTTCTTTAGGCAGAACAGCTAATTGATGAATTCAACTATGAACTAGCTCAGAAATTTTGTCAACGTGCATTAGAGCAAGAGCCTGACAATCTTAGGGCATTAGAAACTTCTGCTTCATTGCTCATTGAACTTGGAAATCTGGAAGCAGCAAAACATGTAATATATACTGTAATGAAAACACGAATAGCAATTTAATTAGTCTTGCTGGCCATGCAGCTAGTAATTACATAGCTAATTAACTTACTACATTAATGTTTATCCCTGCCAGTGTCTTGGTCGAGCAATAGAACTTTCTCCTAACTCCGGGTTTTCAAAATACATGACCATGGGTCAACTGATGGAGGGATCTAATGCAGTTGATTGCTATAAAAAAGGAATTGAAATTATGATCCAAGAAAAAGATAAGAAAGCTGCTGAAGAGGTATAATATTTTTTTTTTGAAGTTTCAAAGAAATCCAAGTGTCCTTCAAAATATCTTTCTGATTTCAATAGGTATAAGGAAAAACAAATTCTGACAAATGCTTGTTAGTTTAAAAAAGACATAATAAAAACTAGTTTAAGTGGTACTATGTTTACTAAGGCATTTCTCAACTTATCTAAAATAATAAATATTTCACTGCCCTAACAAAATAAATGTAGATAATTATTACACTAATGCATGCATCTGTCTGTGTTTTATTTATATCTATATAAATATGTATATAGTTTATATCCAATCAGTCAAATCAGTATGTAAGTAAAGTTCCCTTTTCGAACCTTACTGCCTATGGTGCAAGAGAAGTTGAATTTACCTGTTTCTATGACCCCGGCATATGAAGGGATAGAGTGGTCAGCACTGTGCCCAGCCGCCTTTACTTTCCCTAACGTGAGCTAGGTAGGCTACCCATTGGGTGAACTCAGGGATGTTCTACTGAGTTGAACCTGGATTCAAACTCGAGATTTTTGTGTTAGTTGTCTAAAAGCTTTACCGCAAGGCCACAGTGTCCCAAATCAGTATGTATACAGCAACAAATACCAACTGCCCAAATTAAAGTATTATAGAATAAAATGTTATCTCTACAGGCTGCAGCTGTTTGTGCTGATACCAGAACAGCAAGTGACAAAGATATCGCAAGTGCTTATTGTGCAATAGCAGAAATTTACCTTACGGATTGTTGGTATGCCTCGAACAAATGGAGGCGAGCGAGTTGACGAGATTCCTTCCATAATATTGTTGACATGGAATAAAAACGTGCTTTTTAGATTTAGACCGTAAAAAAAAATAAAAAATAAAAACTTAAGCCTAAAATTAATTTAGAATTTTTATATTTTTAGAATAAATGCTATAAAAGTTGCAAATCCAGAGAACTTGAAAATAATTTGTTGAGTTTAAGGCTACATTTCTATTTATTTTCATCAAGCCTAAGTTAAAACCGGATGTTTCACTTTCGTAAGACAAATATTGATTGGCTGTACAGTAACTTAGTGATCGATAACTATTTGTTTACAAAACTTTGCAGATCAAGTTTTTAAATAACAATGCAAATTAAAAACCCCATGACCTAGTTTTCTATTTTTAGCTTACAATGTGTACAATAAAATCAATGTCGGCCTATCCAATAGCAGGATGCCATTGTTTATGTCGCCATTACACGTGAAAACCAAATTGTTTTGGCTTGTTTTTAAATTTTCAATTAGTTACCGAAAATTTTTAAAACATCAAATAGACCCAATCTTTAGTAAAGTCCGAAATAAACCAGACAGACAGGATTTTATAACCATATTAATTGTAACTACGCCGTGCCTGATTTTTAAACTAATTTATACACCTCTCAAATACCTTTGAGAGTTTTCTCGCTCGTGTCCATTGTATTTTTGTGTGTCTTAGGTTGCACTTTTCCTTTATAAAACAAAACACAATTAAGTTTAATGTGGTCATTCATGCAGGTTTTAAAGAATTTTTCTATTTATAATTTTTTTTCCTACAGTTTTGATGATTCTGCGGAAGAAAAATGTAAAGAATTTGTTGAAAAAGCTTTGGCTTCTGATGCAGATAGCCCAGAAGCTCTCCAGCTCAAAGCAAATTATCTTTTGTCAAAGGATGAAAAAGAAGTAAGTATTAATAATATATAGTTAACTTAAAATTAGCTTAAAATTATTTACTTTTAGTTTGCTTATTCTTATAATAAATCTTTTTTTTTTAAGATTATTTTAAATAGGGATTGACTTACATATGTTATTATATATTATACATAAAATAACCATTCATATTGTTGGTTCATTGATTTTTTTTTCAGGAAGCAAAAGAAGTTATGAAGAAAAGTGTATCCCTGTGGCTTCCTAAATTTTTGAAAGCAGATACTGATGCTGTAAATGATGAAGATTTTGATCCTGTTGAAGTAAGTCATGCATGCTTGACTAAAAATTTCTCTTAAGTACAAGCTTGTTTATTTCTGACCATATTTGTTGCCATTATTTTTGTCAATAATTCATTGAGCCTTCAAGGTTCGTTCTGTACATTATTATTGTACTCCCATATAACAATTAGCCATGGTGTTTACCATGTTTGCTAATTGGTTTTAACAAAAAAAACAATTAGGTTTTAAGCATAGTTTGATTATGACATTTTTATGTTTGATTAAAAATGTTGCTATTTTAGGACTTCCTGTTTGTCAGAAAGATTATATTTTTCTCCTTTTTTAAACAAAATAATTTTCAGCTGTGTCCTCTATCCTTCAGTACAAGGCTACAGTGTGGTAAAATTCTTATTGAAGTTGAAGAGTATGAGGTAAGTTGCTATTAAACATAGATGTGAATATTAATTTATTAAAGCTGATCTCTGTAATTTTAGAATGTGTTAAAGTGTATGTTGTGTTTAAAAAATGTATAATGTGTTTTATCTCCTGGGGCTAAAGTAAATAAACTGGTAGCTCATTTAAAGTCAGCTTTATGGAGTTCTGGGCTAGAGTGATACCCATTAGCTAGGCAGACCTCAAAGTAATGTAGAAGCAAGTTTTTTTTTTGCATCCATGTGCAGAAACAATTACTTGTTTGTTTCTACCTGACTGGATTTTCTCTCTGCCCCCATCTTAGCACATTGTTTGTCCCCTAGTACTGTCTGTCACTATGCTCATTTATTTTCAACAGTTGGCTACAGATGTCCTAGAAACATTGCTTGATGAAGATGATGAAGTACCAGATGTGTGGTACCTGATAGGATGGGCTAATTATCTGCAAGGAACAGAATATTACAGTAATGCTAGACACTATTTGGAAAAAGGCAAAGAGGTGGGATAAGCTTTTCTGTAAAATGATTTTATATTATAACCATTTATATAGCTTTGAAAATTGACATTCGTACTAAAGGAACATTTGGATAACAAAACTATGTTACATAATTACTCACTGAAAATGGTACAAGTGGTTTTATGTTGATTAACAATGAGTAATACTAACCGTTGTGATAGTAATAGGAATCCTGGATGCTTGATTTAGGTTAACTCCTACTACAATTCTTACTCAACTCATCAATCAGAAATATAAAATAGTTAGGGCAAATAAAATTGATTCACCAATACATTAGTTTTATTAAATAAATATTTATTTTTCTTTATATTAAATTATATAGGTTTATGCCAAAATAAAATATGATGATGCTGCATTACTTGGACATATGGATGAACTATTGAAAGAACTAGGTCCAGGTAAAAATTTGTTTTATACAAAGTCAAACTTTCTTTATCCAGAACTTGTTATACAAAGTCAAACTTTCTTTATCCAGAACTTGTAATACTCACAGTAATATTTTTAAAGCTCTGTAAATAAATGTTTTTGTTTTTCCAGAACCAGAGGAAAATGGTCAGGATAAAATGGAACCTTTTGAAATTGAAAGCTCTGGGGAAGAAGACATGGACCAATAACACCTGTTTGCAGAAATTGTTTTTATTCAATAAATATACATACAAAAAAAAGTCTTCCTTTTAACATGATCACATTTTAATACTTGACTTACTTCTCTGTTAGCTGAATTATGTAACTCACAGTTCCCTCAGTCTTATATTAAATTTATTAATCATAATTTAATATTTTAGAACATTTGACAAAGTTTCATACTCAAGACATTTAAAGAAAAATTATAGAATGAATGCACATAGATCTTATAAACTGAAAGTTTACTAGTTTCTCAGTAATAAAAACCTTGACACTCCTTGGAATGGATGTATAAAAATTACCTGTCAATGGAGATTGGTGTTTATTACTTTTTAAATTATTTTTCTGATGCTTTAACAAGACTTATTATTTTATGGGAGAGAAACCATCAAAACCAGTAAAACCCCATAACCCTTCACAAACATTAAGTTACAGAACAAATCATAAGCACTTAAAATAAAAAAAGGTTTTGAAATATTTTTTTAAGCAGCTAATTTGTCATATTTTTGTGCACAAACTTTAACCAGGTTTTCTTCACTTAAAACAAACTATAGTAGTATTAAGCTGATTAAATCATTCCCAACAAAACTCCCCTTGCACCCCAACTATATTTGAAAGAGGCTGTATGAATACATAAAAGTACAGAAGAAAAAAAGATTAACTTGTCCTATCACCCTTGCAGTCTTCTAAAAATTGATTTGTAACATACTTTATCATCACATTATTAAATTATACAGTGCAACATGGGATGATGGCAATTAGTTTATGGACATTTCTTTACCAGAATTTAAAGAAAACCAGCTATTGATTTCTAGACATTTTAAAATTCATTACTTCTTTTCCATATTGAATTTCCATAAGTATACACAGAAAAATACAAATATAAAAAATTCATGAACAAATCTTTTAAAAGTATCAGTCAAACACAGGCGAAATCACCCATCTATCAGATTCAAGCCATTAATATTTTGACCTAATGATTAGACTCATCTGTTTCCAATAGAGCTTGTGATTATGGTTAAAATTTCTGCCAAAACAGTTTAACTACATCAATCTCAGACTCAGCCAACAATAACCAAGCTAGAACATTCTGCCCAGAAACTGCGATTAAAGGTTGATTGCATTGTTTTGTAATTAAATTTAGAATTATAGTATGATGGAATTGTACACAACTATGTGCACAGGAAGGGAATAGAAAAGTAAAGAAGTATGTTTCATGGGGCTAGAAAAATTAAAAGTAAGACTTTACTTTTATTAAAAATATTACTGTGTCAAAAATCAACATGCTTGAAATGATGATACATAAGGTTTTTAATCTAGTTGTCAATTTTTAAAAAAATGTAATGGTTGTACATAAAAGGAAGTGATAAAATCGTTTTAAAACATTAACAATAAATACTTCATTAAAAGAGTAAAACCTGATTATTATTGCACCATCCTCAACATAGGCATAAATACCTAAAGCATGCAAAGATTTAATTTAAAAAGCATTAACAAATGTATAGAAATAACTGGAATGTAATAACTTGACAAAAGTATAGGGTCAGATCTTTTAGGGTGCGCATTGAGACAAAATATTTAAGCATAATTTGAAATAAAATCTTACAATCTAACATACAATAAGTGTTCTTAAGGTTGAAAAAATTCCTTTTGTCTGACAAAACAGTTTTTTTAAATACAATATAACCTTTACTAAAATGAACTTCTTTTAATAACACATTAAAAAGTCCATATTAAATCATATATTTTTACTAATTAGAGATAATTATTATGAAGTGTCAAGCATTTGCAAAAAATTACAGCTTGATGAAGAGTATTAATCCTTTACAGTCCAGTGCACCCAGAATTTTTCTTCTGTGGTATAATCCTAATAAGTTTTATTTACATTTTCTTATTATTCTAGCTAATAAGTTGTCAATTTTCTATATATTATTGAAATGCCTCTGAAAATGAATGGGGTTTTGTTTATAATGTAATTAACAGTGAACTGTTTTCATTTAATTATTTTTTCTATTTATTACTTGTAAATCGTTAGGCTATTTAGAAAAAACATTATAAAACCAGTCCATTTTCTTGCACTATGCTTAATTTTCTTTTTTTTTTATGTATTTAAATATTATTAAATAGTTTTGTTTTTAAAAAAGTATCATGGTTGAAATTGCTTTGACATTTTGGCCATATGGGAAGTAAAAATGTATTTAATGCCTGGAAAGTAAAGGGTTAAGGACAGGTGATCACAAGACATTTTTCATGGCTCATACTTTGCTTTCATCTCTTTACACTGTTTAGCAGAACACAAACTGTAAGGCTGATGTAAGATTAATAACAAATCTATTAATAACATTTATAAGAAAACTGTTATACAAGCAATTTCACAACAGTAAAGTGGGTCATACACGATTTTCATATACATGTTTTATATCATGTATTTTTTCAATCACTTGATCAATGTATGGTCTTTCAGTTTGTTTTGGTTTCAACATCCACAAAATTGTTTCAGGAATGCTATTTGAATAACTGAAAAGATATAGAATAATTGTTATTAGATTTGGCAAGTTGAAAAATCTGTACAGTCATTTGGAAAATGTGACAAAAATGAATAACATGAATCTTTTTTTAAAATATTTATGATTGTATCAAATACTGCATAAAGATTTATATTGAAAGTTAATGGTGATAATAAGTAACACAAATAAAAATTACCCCTGAGTATTGTCAGGAAATGTTATTTTGCCAGCCATAGTTGCTAAAGCTAGACTGTCTCCATGTTGATAAGCACTTTCAAAGGGTGATTCCAAATAGGCCAAGGCATATAAAACACACCCTAAGGACTGTAAATAAAAAAAATGATCCTAATCAATTATTAATTCTAGGATAACTAGTTTTTGTTAGTTTAGATTTTAAAAACAAAATATACCAAATCGCTATAGATTTTTCTTGATAATTCAAATCAACACTTTAATTTCTACACAATCTTATTGATAAAATAATTGCTTTTAAAAAAAATTTCTATGTAGCCCTTTTGGAGGTGGCTGTTCACATGGAACATGAAGTAAATTTCTGGTTTTGTGATCTAGGAAAATAATGGGATAGTGTGGTTAGCACTATGCCCAGCCACCTTTCCTTAACATAAATCAGGTACCCATTAGAGCAGAGTGGACTTGGTATGTCCTACTGACTCAAGCCAGTGATCTAAGCTCAAGACTTTCCAGTTGGCTGTCATGCACTATACCATCTGACTATGCCCTCCTAATCTTTAAAAAGATAATTACATACCCATATGTCAGTCCGCTCATCTAGGGAAGTATTCGTTTCTACTGTAAACAATTCTGGAGCACGATAAAGCATGGAACAGCGTTCTGCTGCTAGGTCCTGCAGTAGAAAACACCTAAGATATAGAGGATAAAAAAAGAAAACAAAAAGAGGAATGAGAAAGAAAAATGTATTTTGTATACACAGACCTGCAATGAAGAAGCATCCCTGGCAGTTTTAATAAACAGGCGAGCTGGTGCTGCTGAACCAAGGTCCATCACAACAGGTGTTCCATCTTCTTGTGTCATCACATTGTCTGGCTTTATGTCTCTATGTGTAAAATAAAGCACAATTTATGATTAATTAAAAACTGCTAACATCTATTTCAAAATTAAAAATTCATTAGTGCAGATTGATTGAAGCTTTTCATTAATTTTTATTTTTTACATGCTGCAATCAAAAGCTTTATAACATTGGTAGAGTGACTAATATTGAGTTTTAATTTACCTGTGTGCATAAGGAGGATTGTGGTCATGCATTGCCTTGATTCCCTGACAAATTCCTAACATAAGTTTCCAAATAGTTTCCTCCCCTAAATGTTCTCCTTTAAGTTTCAATGTCTCAATTCTATTTTGCAAAGTTCCTTTCTGTGGTAATACAAATAACCAAGTTTAGAGATAAAAAATAAATCTGTTTTATGCATGTGAGATTGAAAAAAAATCTCTACTCAGGAAACAGCATGGATTTGTATTTTAAGAAACAAATTAATTTTAAAATGTAACATGCTTACTCGATATAATGGAATTACTAAAAACACTTCACAAGTAATATCCACACTTTTTGTGTGAACATCAACTTTGTTTATACTGTAACACTCTAATGGAATTATGTTTGGGTGGCTGATCTCTCTCATAATCTGTATTTCTTGTAAAGCAATGTGTTCCTCTTCCTTTGAGTGACACAAAATCCTTTTAAGTGCATAGGCTTTGTGTGTCTGTGAATCCTCAACCAAGTCCACAAAGCTAAAGCCTCTGAAAATAAAAAGAATATAGGCCTACAGCCTTATAAAGAATAATTATTGACAGCCTATCTTTTTTTTACATTAATAGATTTGAAAGCAGACCCTCTGTTATTAACCCTCTAAAGATGTAGCTTTTATGGAGAGCTGGTGCCAATAAGACAGAGCCTACTACTTTTTTTTAAGCTTTGAACTTGTATAAAAAAAATTTGAAAAAAATAAAATTATTTTACATGCATGAAAATGTATATAATTTATAATGTATATAATTCACATTCCCATTGTGGATGATTATAGATACCTGTGTCCGATAATGGAATCTTCTTTAAAAAAGGGGTATTGGGTTGTTAGTAGTATTGTAATGTCGACTAATTTTATGGTTAGAAATTAGGGTTAGGCGTATGGTAGGACCAGGGTTGGGGTTAGGGAAAAGGTTAGCATTGACATTAGATAGTCATGTGTGCATTTAGTTAACTAACAGTAACCTAACACCCCTTTTTAAAGAAGATTCCATTATCAGACACCGGTATAAACATTCTCCCCAAATTGTTTTTTTAAATTTTGGCTATAGGCCTAGATTCTATATATTTAGGACTTTGTTTCTTACAAATATAGGCAATATCAAAACTAATTTATTAATTCTATTGAACATTATGGTCCACATTAATTTATTAATATAATTTATTATGTATTATATAGCCCAAGACCTATATGATAAAAAATGATAATAGTTTTAGATCAAATAACTAATGAAAACTTCAAAAACCAGTAAGAATCTACAACAATAAATTATGTCAAAATTTGAAAATGGCTTTGAACAAGGATCAACCAAGTCTGCCAATCTAATATATAAAGCTCAATTCTGTATGTAAAAATAAATTTGTTTGTCGTTGACATACTTCTATGGATTTTAGTGTTAGACTATTATTGTGCTCTTAGTCTTAATTTATGAGTTAAAAAATTACTATTGAAAGTGTTTGGAAATAATTTTCATTTTTCAAACTGATAGTAATAATTGTCGGCATGTTCATTAAACACAAATTTAAAAAAATAACAAAAATTCTAATTATGTCTGAAAATTATTTATATTTAGTCCTTTAGCACTTACTTCCCTTTGATAAATTAGGAAAACACAATTACTTCCCTTTATAAAACATTGCATTAGTGGAAAAGAATTTACTTTTTATTACTTTGTTTTGGTGTTGGGGAAAAAAATAATTACATAATTAGCGGGGATGGATCAAGTGCAAATGTTGTAGGTATTTTACGAATAAGCTTGGAGTATTATAATTGTTCATTTGGTTTGGTTTGGCACCTACGTTCGTTTAAGTGAGTGCAAAAGACTATGAATAAGTTGGGGTATTATAGTCGATTATTAAGCTGGAACAGGCGATTCTGCCCCGGGCTAGACTGTGAGCACTTTGTTTTTTACTTTGTGTTTTTATGGTGTTTGTGGTTGTGGTTGGGTTTGTTGTTAGGTTTTTGTTTTTGTTTGCTTTTTTGTTTGTTTTTTCTTTGTGCTTGTATTGGTGTTTGTGATTGTGGTTGGGTTTGTTGTTAGGTTTTTGTTTTTGTTTGTATTTGTAATTGTGTTAACGTTATGTTTGCGTTTGGTTGGTTGTGGTTTGGGTGGGCAATGCCGGGTTTATGATGATTACTAAACACACAGGTAATGGTCTTTAACAGAAAGGTTTTTCACAGAAGCCATAGCAGGGCCTGGCCGGGACGGCTAGTATCTATCTATATACTACTAAAAGTCAAGTTTGTTTACATGTTTGAATATTTATTTTTTTGTTTGTTTGTCTGATTGACTATTGCTCATGGTTGCACTCATCGTGGAAAGCTGTAAAATAGTATGTAGGTAGAGAATAATTTTTAAATGCAGACAGACTGTTAATCACAAATTTATTTAAAGACGTTAATTAATTTATTGATTTATTCATACGTAGAGTAACCCATTTTTTTTTTAAATGTTAAAACATTGACTAAACTTTGTGGGAATAGTGACGTCCCTTGATGTGTTTACTTTTTGGTACAATAAAATGGCGGCGTCTATCGAAGAAAATTGTGTTCCCATTCAAAAGTTTAACGCGTTCTAAATCTAATTTTCTGTCGGTCATAACTTTAACAATACGTCCCTTTGCTGTATTTATTACGTTCCAACACTTATATCAATTTTAAACTGTCTTTTTTCATTTAGTTTTACAATAAATTTCTCTAGATCTAAAGATCAGCTGTCGAAGGAAAGTTATGAATCTAGCCTAGATCTAGCCTAGATCTAGGTCACTAGACTCAATGTAAATTCTAGATCTAGACTTAATGTAAATTCTACATCTAGAATCTATTTCAGGCCTTAATTATTTTATATAAATCTTTGTTTGGCTAATTTAAGATAAAATTTAATTTGAAAGTTACTAGATTCTACTACTAGACTTAGATCTAGATCTATGCGCGGAGACTCAAAAGTATAGTATAAAAATTCATTTGTGACGTCACGAGTAAATAGCTAAGTTGGTAGCGTAGTCTGCTCTCATGCGGGTGGCACAGGTTCTAGACCAATATGTCAATGATATTTTTTTTTTTTATTTTTTTTTTTTTTTTTAGATGTGAATGATAAAGTTGCCTATCTGAACTTGGCAGGATACAGGGCAGGTGAAGTAGAGTTCATCTGTTTCTTTGTCCTAAGCATATGAAAGGATAGTGTTGTCAGGGACATGCGCGGCTGGAATCGTTTTTTAAACGATAAAAACATGTCGTCTGAGACTTGGCGGGACACTGGGCAGGTGAAGTAGAGTTGAGTAGGTCACCTGTGACGTCAGTATATGAAGGGATAGTCCGAAATCGGTGTTTTCGGTGTTTTTAAAAGATAAAAAACATATTTTTGAATGTGGGGTCTGTTTTTTTGTAACGATAAGTGACACTGCAGTAGCGTAGCGAGGAGGGGGGGGCGGGAGGGGGAGGGGAGGCGGGGGGAGGGGAGGGGAGGCGGGGGGAGGTGGAGGGGGGAAGGGGGCGGGGGGGGGGGACATATGTTGGGGCGCCAAAATGGTTTGGTAAAATAAATTGAAAGGTTGAGGGGGGCTCAAATCGAAAGTTTGAGTGGGGGGGGGGTGCACATCAAAAGTTTGAGGGGGGGGGGTTGCAAATCAAAATCTTGCGGGGGTGGGTTCAAATCGAAAAGTTTGTCCCCGGACGCCGGGAAGGGTCGCTATGCCTCTGAGTGACAGACGTGATGTTTTTTGATGGATGACCCCCGAAACCCACAGTTATCCAACGAATGACGGGTATTCTAGTATTATATAATAAGAAAGAAATCGTTCAAGCCAAGATTCAATCATCAGCAAATTTGTTAGGGTAAATTTTTAATCTGTACATAAAGGAGCCCTGGCCTACTGACCTATTGGATTTAAAAATGTTAGCAACCGTGACGTGAGGCTACTTTTATCTTACCAACAATACAAAAATAAACTTCAGTTTTCAGTCTTTGCAATTCAACCCCCCCCCCCCTCCCCCCCATCAAGTAGACTCTAGATCTAGATCTAGTACAGAATGAAAATGCTAATTTGTAGTGATTTAGTAGTAAACACAACAGGATTTAGATCTATATCTAGATCTAGTACTATTTAACAGTATTTAAAAAAATGTACCCTTCACCAAGTCGCTGTTTTATAAAAAATTTCCGGTTTTCTACAGTAAGGGATTCTCTGCCACAAACACAACCCATTTTTAATAACTTTTTAGTTGGAACTAGATCTAGCAGTCGATGAATCACAAAGATCATACTAATTACCGTACACTACTTTATTTAGTTTCAGTCGATTTTTAAAAATGCATAAAAAACGTTTAATAACAATTATTTATATAATTGCGCGCAAAAAAAGACAGAAAAAAAGATTTAGTCTACCGCCCCCCCCCCCCACCGCGAACGAAATGACATTTATATAGAAAATATATACTTTTAACAGTCACCACCCCCCCCCCCATGAAGAAAGTCTACCCCCCCCCCCCCCGAAAATTTTAAGTGCCCCCCCCCCCTCGGAGAAAAAAGTCTGGAAGAAACACTGGATCCACTCTTTTAACTTTTAGTTTTATGTTTAGTTCTTTGAATTGTTGTTCATTTTTATATATTTAAAGAAAATCGTTTATTTTCTTCTTTTGAGTGCATTATTATTAGGCCTACATATTCATAATATAAAAAGCTTGTTATTTATTAAAACGATTTTTATGCATATTTCAGAACAAATTTGTCACACTAGAAGAAATAAACACGTCTTATATCCTCTCCAATCCTGTATAGGAAATTAACACTGTTCTTGTTATATATACATATATATTACGAGCCGACCCGCGGCATATCATACGCCGCTATTTAGTTGTTTTATTTTCTACTTTTCAGTAATTCATAATTTGTGAATTCGACAGTACCAATGCTGCCACTGAAAATATCTGCTTTAAAACACTATCAGTAGGTCGTTAAGGATGATACTACCCCCACCCTCCTTTCCTCCAACCCCTACGCTACACCCCCACCCCCGTGAAAGCAGCCTCCTCTTAGTTACCTCCCCTAAGTTTAAAATCGTTTCAAACTAAATTATCTGCCCCTAATAGCCGTCACTAAACCCGGCTCTACGACTGTAAACATTTAGCGTGAACCAAAGCTCACCAGACCATGTAGGGGTGGGGTGGTAGGGGAGCGCGCTTACAGCTTGTTTTCTCGCGTCTCCCAGAAGAGAATTATATATCATCATCATCATCATCATCATCATCATCATCACTCCTTTATGGCCCCTGGGGAGCAAAGGGCTGCAGCCACACATCTCCAGCGGACTCGGTTTTGGGCTGCTCCTCCAATCTGTGCCCATGAGAGCAGTGTTTCTTCCAGACTTTTTTCTCCGGGGGGCACTTGAAATCTTCGGGGGGGCGGTAAACTTTCTTCGGGGGGGCGGACACTGTTAAAAGTATATATTTTCTATATAAATTATATAAATTTCATTTCGTTCGGGGGGGCGGTAAAAAATTTTCGGGGGGGCTTCGCCCCCCCCCCCCCCCCCCCGAAGAGATGCCTGGAAGAAACTCTGCATGAGAGCCCAGCTGTTTTTGCCTCTTCCTCAACCAATTATATATATAGAAGATAGATATATATCCTCAACCGGATGTGAGAGAATCTAAGCACGTTGCGTATTTCCTCTATCATTAGCCGAAATAAGCAATACCTAACCTTACAATATTACTAGATCTAGGGCAGGGGTCTCCAAACTACGAAGTCCTCTCATCCGGCCCGCGGAGATATTTTTGTCTAAGGAAAAATTGTTTGTTGGTGATAGATGAGGAACTTTGCCCAGAGAAATGAAAGACATGCCTGGAAGAAACTGGCCCCCGAACTGAAATGTGATAGTTAATGCGGCCCTCGGTCTGAAAAGTTTGGAGACCCCTGGCCTAGGGCATAGGTTGAAGTTGGGCTTCAATAGTAGATTCTATATTAAGAGGTGCAAAGTTGACACTAGTGCCATAGAGTCGTAATACATAGTTATTTGTTATAGATCTAGTAGCACTACACTACTACTACTAGTATTACTATTATATTAGGCCTATAGTTTTTATAGTATTGTCACTACACTTTCTTTACACTTTAAAGTTATTGTAAACTGTAAACAGTCAATATTAGTATTAACTATTAGTTAGGCCTAGGGCCTAGAGTAGTTAAAGACAAAGTAGATGAGTAGGCCTAAATAGTAAATAAATAATACTAGTAAATAGATCTAGTCTAGATCTAGTAGTAAATTTTTTAAATAGGCCTATAATAGTTAACTATAGTAGGCCTATAGATTCTAGATTCTATACTAGAGTCTATATTAATCTATATATATATATAGTATAATACTATATAGATCTAGACTACTACTATCTACTAAACAGTAAATATTACTAAATAATCAACATACGGCCATGGCAAGTTTAAGATTATTTTTTAGCCATCGTATATTTAACACATATTTTGCTGACTTGGCGTGTACTCTCAATATTACTCAAGTATGTCTATGAAACTATGAATATATTTTTGTTCATTGAGTTCTGTTTATGACACCTCTTTATTATGATTAGGTTATTAATAATTGTATTAATTATTATTTTAGCATAGCATATAGAATTAATAATCTAGATCTAGATAGATAGGCCTTAATATACTAAATATAGGCTATTTTATATTTTTTATTTTAGTACCCTACTTTACTTTAGTTTATACTACTATAAACTTCATAGTCAATAGTAATAGTAATAAAAATAGTTAGGCCTTTAGCCGGCTTTAATTATTAATTATTTTATGTTTAGTAATAATTAGTATTTATAATTACTATTAGTTACTAATATTTTATATCCTAATTAATAATTAGTTTATTCATGAATGGCAGTTCATGGCCTGTAATACAAGGTCTGCTTTTAAGGCCTATTTGTTATTTGATATTGATTTGTAGTTAGGCCTAATTTTTTTAAATTTGTTATTAGACTGGTTTGAAACAAGCAACCTGTATCAGATTTGCATCCAAATTCAATGATGAAAAAGCCAAACCCAAGCAACATATTTCAAGGTACCCTGTACCTGATGTTAGAACATTACCAAGTGATATGCAAAAATTAATAGATGAAGCCAAAGAAAAGGTAAGCATAAAGAAACATAACGTGATTCATTGCCATTTTATATTAGGAATTATTGATTTGCTTACACATTAGCATTTAACAGTGAAATGGTACTAAAAAATAGGTGTTTAGTATTTATAACTCAAACTGTCTTTAACCTCCTGTGCTGTTAAAAATTATTATCAAGAGAATTGCAAGTTTTCCTAGAAATTTTTTTTTAAATAATAAAACTACAAAAAATAATAAATAATTTAATTAAAATAATAATTTAAATAATTTAATTGTTATTTAAGTTAAACAAATATTATTACAGGCTGGTTTTGTCCCTAATGTCTTCCAAACATTGTCACACAGACCCAAGGAAATGCAAGCATTTGTTAACTACTACGATGCAGTTATGGAAGACCGAACTGGAGGTATTTTATTAATTTCATAACAAAATTGCTCTCTGTGGCAAAGGCTACAATCAATAAACAGATCAAGAACATTCTGCTAAATATCATTCACAAGTGGACTACAGTTAGTTGGTACATGTTTTAACAGTTAAGGTATATTTAAAGTGCACTGATACTGAAGTAAATATTTCTCAATTGTATGCGAGATCTGTGCCTTTATACTATGCTCTTCCTCATGAGTTATCACCTTTTGACAGACTTAACTCTCTTGACATCTTGATACTGTTACACATCTTCTTTGTGTTTCCCTTGAACAATGCTTCTTTCCTAATACATAATTTTTTTCTTTATTGACATTCATTGGATTTCTTTGCATGCCTAATGCAAATGCATTTTAATTAGCTGTCCATGAATGACTATTCAGTTAGATTTTTTTTCATATTTTGCAGTGTGTCTGTTGAGATCCATTCCTAGTGTTACTGTGTAATGGCCCCCAAAATTCTTGGCCTGATTAAAAAAAATGTTTTTTTTTTAAAAGAACGTTTCCCCACCTATCTTTTATTCCATTCATGTTTTTAAACTTGATGAAATGTGAGAATAAACTTGTTTACCATTAACCATTGATGGTATTTTCCATTTTTTTCCTACTACCTGGTTAAAAATACTTCTAAAAACAAGTCTCCTGTAGATTGCTTGCTCTAGATTAGTACATCAAAGTTCAATGGGTAAAGATTGGTACCATCTAGTGGTTTGTGTGTAAAGCATCATTGCTATAACTTTTCAAATCAAGCTTAACTACACCATTAGCAGTTCCTGACAAGGATATTCCTTAAATTAAGAATGCTCTGTTCTAACTTAAATAGGGCAAAAGTGGTTAAAAAAAAGGTTAATCAAATGCATTCTAAATAGCTGTTATTGATTTTTTTTAAACAGGGCACTTGACTAAAGCTGATAAAGAAATGATAGTAGTTGCTGTAAGTGCATACAACAAATGCAGATACTGTATCATTGCCCACAGTGCATTATTTCGAATATATTCCAAAAACAGAATTCTTGCTGATCAGGTATTTTTTCTATTGTTCAGTACTCTTTTAAATTATTATATAAATGAAAATATGATTTATTGATATTATATTGAATTAATAATACTAAATATTATTTAATATGTTGTTTATATATATATATATATATATATATATATATATATATATATATATATATATATATATATATATATATATATATATATATATATATATATATATATAGCTACTAAATGGCATATAATTTGTATTTATATTGAATATTTATTAATATGTTTCTATATATATAGATTGCTGCTAACTGGCAGACAGCAGATATTGATGACCGTCAGAGATCAATTTTAAACTTTGCATTGCAAGTTACAAAATGTGAACCATTGTCAGAGACACATTTCGATGCACTGCGCCAACATGGTCTAGATGAGGAGGATGCATGGGATATTGGATCTGTTGTTGCTTTATTTTCCCTGTCTAACAGAATGGCCTACCTTACAAGTATGGTGCCTAATGAGGAGTTTTACATGTTAGGAAGGGTCCCAAAAGAAAAAAAATAGATTTCTGATTTTTTTGTGTATGTTACTATGTAACCAGTATTATCATTGTTATCAATTTTATCTAGATTTTAATATCAGAAGCTATGTTTACTTTAAAGGATTTTAATTGTTACTTTTTTCAATAGTGGGGAAAAAAATGTTGATTTTTTTATAATCCCAATAATTTTTATGGTTTCCTAAAATGAAATGAGTTGAAGCTTTTCTGTTAAGGGATTTGCAATAATGAGTTCTGCATTTGGGATATTTTATAATTTGAGGGACAATCACCCGTCATCATTTGATGATGGTGCCTTTAATCAGTTTGTAAATACTATTTAGCGCAGGATAAACTGTAATTGAAAAATAGAAACATCAAAATGGTTAAAAAATGACTATGCATGGGAATTTCTTGTCACCAACTAATTTGTTGATAAGTGGATCATTGACTGTACAAGCAGTGTTAAAGTTTAGCAGTTTATGATTTAAATCTGATATGCTGTCAAATTATGTCCCTGTTATGGTGAATGGCCTTCAAATCTTAAGGCTGCAATAATACAGAATTTAACTATTTTCTAATGGAGAAATCTTTAACAGGCTTTTACTGAAAAATGTTTTTTTAATCAGTCAATATATATTATACTCAGACTTAGTCACTTCTCGATATTTATTAAAGATTCACAACCTTAAAATTTCTTTTATAATTTGGATTAGCTTACATTGTATTGTTTAAAGGAATGTATATATGTATAGGACTGTATATGTCTGTGTGATTAATCTTCTTAGCATTGTGACGTTTAATGTAACTAATAAACAAGTCTTAAAAAATGTGTATAAAATTGTAATGATGAAATTATTGAATGCAGCAGTTTCCAAACTTAGAGCACTATTACTAATTGAAAAATAAAAGTTTTAAGTCTACTCTCCCCCCCCCCCCCCCACCAACTAAGAAAAATTTCTGAAAGATGCACAACTGCTAATCTGAGGAAGTAGCATTTATCAACAGCTGATTTACTAGTGTAGTTTTTCTAGGTTGATCTCAATAATGTTAAGCAGTGTTTATTGTTTGTACCTTATTTCAAAAGTTATAAGCCTACTCCTGGAGGAATGATGGGATTGCACTACTGTGGTGGGGGGGGGGGGGGGTAAGAAAGTGTGACGTTACAGTGTTACATTGAAGCAGGGTCTTGTCAATTGTTAAAACAAATGATTGATGAATTTAACTGATTGAAATTAGCTAAAATTCTCATTACATTATTTGTAACATTACTAGGGGAAAGTACTCAATTAATATTTGTGGCAAATCAGGTAGTTTGGTTATATCCCTTTATAGAAATGAACAATAAATAAATGGGGCGGTTGGTTATTTTGGAATCATTTTGTGACGATGAATTGGCAAAAATAAAATCTGGACGTCCCCTTAAAAGCTAATTCAAAACACAATCTCGTCAACTTATCCACCAATACACTATAAAGACCATCGACCAAGCCCTAATTCCTGTTTATTTGGGACATGTATAGGGCAATATAGAGTAGAGCTCTATAAACTTTTAAAATCTTATCGCAATGGTCTTGTTCAAACACAATAGATATTATGAACTTATTACCCACTTCTACCCATTAGACAACAGAAGGCCTAATGTATTTAATCTAGGCTTACAAGTGAGATTACTGTTATTTTTATATGTTGGGCCTATACCTAGGCTACTAGTACTGGTAAAAGTAGTAGTTACATGATTTTAAAATATTACACTATATTGTGTATTTTTAAATTCTTTATTCAAACATAAATAATATAACAGTAAAAAAAATCAAGTCGATTTTTAAAAATGATCAAAATTAAACTGTAGTGACACGAGCAACATTGTTTAGACTGAATTTTAAAAGAACATCCCCCCCCCTTCTCAGATATTTTCTTGTGACCTATTTCCACTTAAAAATCGTATGAATAACTTGTGTTATCCACCGTGTGATGCGTCGTTACCGTCAGCAACTACTACAAGACATCATTGTATTGTAGGCTCACGTAAAAAAATCTGGACAGACCAAGTCATTTGTTAGTCCTTTTGTCAAAATGCTGAATTCAACATCACTTCAATCAATGAATAGACATACATCAGAATGTGAAAAAAACAAGTCGAAACAGAAAGTCATAATGTAAAACAGAAGTCAGAATAGTCATGTAAACAGGTAAGTAAAAACAGTCATATTGTAAACACGTAAGTAAAAACAGATAGTCATAATGTAAAAAACGTAAGTAAAAACAGTTACAATGTAAAAAAACGTAAGTAAAAACAAGCAAGTAATATTGTCATTATTGATGATTATCTGTGGCCGTAGTTCATGAAGCTTTAGATATTACATGATTTAAAAATAATTAAAAAAAACGACGGAAGCGTTTTTGACGTGAAATTTTGTTTTTGCAGTAAAGTCCAAAAGATATTTGCTTGTACACTATTCTAAAAGACCAGATTTCTAAGCCTCCCTTTTTTTTACGTTTATTTTAAAACGCCATAAATCAGCCACTTCACGCCATGTTTATAGCTAGTTCTTCCTTGTTCTTATCTTAAACTTTTCCCTTTGTCGTAGTCCGCATCACCAAATAAAGATATGCAAGTTAGCTGGGGGAAAAAAATGGAGGACAATTTGTATCATGTTCAAGGCAGTCCTTTTGCATTGTATTACACTTATTTTTGTAAACTGTGATAAAAATGCAGCAATTAATGCAGGACACTTAAACATTCGCATTTGATCTCTAATCTCTACTTATGAACACACACATATTTATAGGCTATTTATTTAGGCCTATTATATATATATATATATATATATATATATATATATATATATATATATATATATATATATATATATATATATATATATATATATATACATATATATATATATATATATATATATATATATATATATATATATATATATATATATATATATATATATATATATATAAAGAAGGAGGGGTGTACTATTTCTTCCACCATGCATTCAATTTTCTATCCCGTTACTAATGTAATGGCAACTTACGATATGACTTTTATCCCATTGATTGTCAAGTTCAGGTTGATAAAGTTTTTGACTATTTGCACAACATCGTTCTCCAGCTGCGCGCTCGGACCATTATTTGTTAATTCCAGATCTAGATGCTGGAGTTGAGGAAATCTGAGAACCAAGAGCTGCAACATCTGGAGAGAATCGTGAGGAGTTAGGGACACAGACATTCACACTTTCATAAGCTGCAAAATCTGGAGAGAATCGTGAGGAGTTAGGGACACAGACATTCACACTTTCATAAGCTACAACATCTGGAGAGAATCGTGAGGAGTTAGGGACACAGACATTCACACTTTCATAAGCTGCAACATCTGTTAAAACCGTGAGGGCTAGTGCCCAGAAACATACGAGCCACATCACCTACCTCATCTTCTCGCTGAGGGTTAGTGCCCAGAAACATACGAGCCACATCACCTACCTCATCTTCTCGCTGAGGGTTAGTGCCCAGAAACATACGAGCCACATCACATACCTCATCTTCTCGCTGAGGGTTAGTGCCCAGAAACATACGAGCCACATGACCTACCTCATCTTCTCGCTAAGGGTTGGTGCCCAGAAACATACGAGCCACATCACCTACCTCATCTTCTCGCTAAGGGTTAGTGCCCAGAAACATACGAGCCACATCACCTACCTCATCTTCTCGCTGAGGGTTGGTGCCCAGAAACATACGAGCCACATCACCTACCTCATCTTCTCGCTGAGGGTTAGTGCCCAGAAACATACGAGCCACATCACCTACCTCATCTTCTCGCTGAGGGTTAGTGCCCAGAAACATACGAGCCACATCACCTACCTCATCTTCTCGCTGAGGGTTAGTGCCCAGAAACATGTCTAATCTGAAAAGCGGCATGGCTGGCGACAAGATGTTTTCAAAATCCTCAACCAGCATGGCGTTTGATGGTACGCTTAGAGTGACCTGAGTTTTTGGACATGCTAACTTGAGCGTATTCCACATCTCCGAAGTGACTCGTACTGGAAGTGAAGATAAATATATTTTTAGAGCACTCAACGATAAAAGCATATTTATTGTTAAGCAAAATATTTATTATGAGGTAAATTGATACAAAAAAATAAAGAATATCTATTAAAACAATGAAAGATAACATAGGCCCGTGCATAAAATATTATATTACACCACCCTACAAATTGGACCGACCTGCATTTACTTTTACCTAACATCAAGATGGGCAGCTTACATTACAGATATTTCCCTACCATTAGGCTCCTCCTCGTTGGTGAAGATCTGTAGATTGACAGGTCTCTCTCCGAAAATGGTCGCAAAGTGTTCTAGTATCTGACCACTCAAATAGCAATAATTCAGTGCTAAAATTTTCAGGTTGACGAATTTCTGTGGACGAATGAATAGTTTGTGATATGTTTACAATATTCGGGTTGACAGCATACCTTTGACTTTGTTGGATACCGGTGGTATAAACATTGGACAAAATATCTTTGACTTTATTGGATGCCTTGGTTAAAAACATGGGACAACATATATATGACTCAACTCACAGACAAAGCTGTTCCGAATTCAGGAGCGAAGCTTACAGCACCCTTGTCATCGAAATAGTCCACTATATCCAAGTTGGTTAATTTGTCCGTTACAATTTGCAACAGTTCAGCGCCAGCCTGTACCTCTAAACGGATCCTTCTCATGGACAATTCCTGTGAGACAAGGCACACACAACAATCACATTTTCATTGTTCGCGAGGACAATTTTTTAAAATAGTTTACAATAACTGTCAAAGAAACAAATTGTTATAGTTTACAATAACTGTCAAAGAAACACATTGTTATAGTTTACAATAACTGTCAAAGAAACACATTGTTATAGTTTACAGTAACTGTCAAAGAAACACATTGTTATAGTTTACAGTAACTGTCAAAGAAACACATTGTTATAGTTTACAGTAACTGTCAAAGAAACACATTGTTATAGTTTACAGTAACTGTCAAAGAAACACATTGTTATAGTTTACAGTAACTGGCAAAGCAACACATTGTTATAGTTTACAGTAACTGACAAAGAAACACATTGTTATAGTTTACAATAACTGTCAAAGAAACACATTGTTATAGTTTATAGAAACTGTCAAAGAAACACATTGTTATAGTTTATAGTAACTGTCAAAGAAACAAACTGTTATAGTTTACAGTAATTGCCGCAATTGAACGAGCACTTGCCTCTAAGCTGTCTTGAACTGATAACACCTTCTTTAGGCCGTCCAATATCTCTGTTCGAACTTTGATCCCGAAGCGCTTCCAGTCTACTTCTTCCAAATCAAAAACCTTGAGCCTGGTGGGTTCTATCGCCGCGAACAAAGAGTGGACCGTCCTTTTGAGGAGTTTGCTTGTGAAGGTCCCCCATGTGATTTTCATCACCTTGACGTGTTTGCCGTGTACGCCAGCAAACTGAACGAGTCGAGTCACTGTACCAATAGGAGCAGCTTTAAGTCAGTGCAGGAAAGTGCATTCAAACCCCCGTATCCAACCTACCACCTCGACCACGCCATTCCACCCCAACAGGAGCAGCTTTAAGTCAGTGCAGGAAAGTGCATTCAAACCCCCGTATCCAACCTACAACCTTCACCACACCATTCCACCCCAACAGGAACAGCTTTAAGTCATTGCAGGAAAGTGCATTCAAACCCCCGTATCCAACCTACCACCTTCACCACACCATTCCACCCCAACAGGAGCAGCTTTAAGTCAGTGCAGGAAAGTGCATTCAAACCCCCGTATCCAACCTACCACCTCGACCACACCATTCCACCCCAACAGGAGCAGCTTTAAGTCAGTGCAGGAAAGTGCATTCAAACCCCCGTATCCAACCTACCACCTCGACCACGCCATTCCACCCCAACAGGAGCAGCTTTAAGTCAGTGCAGGAAAGTGCATTCAAACCCCCGTATCCAACCTACAACCTTCACCACACCATTCCACCCCAACAGGAGCAGCTTTCTAGCAGGGCTTACATATATATATATATATATATATATATATATATATATATATATATATATATATATATATATATATATATATATATATATATATATATATATATATATATATATATTGTGGCACATTTTTTTTTGGCTTTATAACCTTAATTGTGTCGTTTTATCGTTTTGTCAATCGTCCATAATTAACTTACCCGAGTTTAGAGAATTTGGTCCAATCATAAAATATCCGACACGCCAAAGAGACGGATCTCTGGCCGCGTTGCGCCAGTCTTTGCAAACCTGAGCGTAGACCAAACGTTAATTAAAAGCTCTGCTTCAATTTATGTGTCATCCAGTACGCCACTATTACTAAATTATCGCGAGATCCACAAAGCCAAGGTAATGTTGGCGATTTACATAAGAATGTGTGGGTTCTGCAAGAAATAACTCTCTATCTTTGTATATCCGCGGATGCCTTAAAAACGGTTTCTTTATTAAATTTAACAAGTCAACACAGAAAAAGTTCTGAGACTTTTTTCATTCGGTACTGGTTAAACTATTTACAGACTGTACTGAGTACAGTTATTATCTGCTTTTTAATTATTTTTTTCGTCCCAGACATGAACGCATTTTAGGCCTAACGTCATAATGATGGCACACAATTTGGGAACTTCACATTCATGACACATGGGGAACTTCACATTGTAAACACATGGGGAGCCTCACACTGATGACACATTGGGAACCTCACACTGATGACACATGGGGAACCTCACCCAGATGACACATGGGGAACCTCACACTGATGACACATGGGAACCTCACCCAGATGACATATGGGGAACTTCACACTGATGACACATGGGGAACCTCACACTGATGACACATGGGGAACATAACACTGATGACACATTGGGAACCTCACACTGATGATACATGGGAACTTCACACTGATGACACATGGGGAACCTCACACTGATGACACATGGGGAACCTCACACTGAAGACACATGGGGAACCTCACACTGATGAAACAATGGGAACCTCACACAAACTCGCCACAACAAAATTCTGAGTATTTTATAACTTAATTGTTTGTATAACCTACCTGAGACGCAACCCATATGTTTTTATCTGGCAATAATGAGAGTACTCTAACAAGCACAACGTAGGGAAGTTTAGCCCATGACGCATGGGTAGCCTCCAATGGACGAGGCGGCTCCTTGGTATGGAAGAGTGGAACGAAAAAGATGTGAAGATTTATAGTTAAAAAATGTTACCGACATACTCTCAAGTCCAGGCATTCCCTAACACTCACAAGAACGACTAAATGATTTAGAGGATGCGCGTCAAAGTACAAAATATCTCGAATAAGTGAAGCATCTAAAATGGAATTATATGTTGTGGTGAAGCATCCCAAACAAAGACAGTTAAAAGGGCAAAAAAAAAACTATAAACTTGATCTAGATGACATTCTAAAAGAACAATTACTTCATTTATTTACACACTATCACCATTAAACCAATACAGAATGCACGTAAAATAATTTTGTAATGAAAGCAATCAGTAGCGTAGCGGGGGGGGGGGGGGGACATATGTCCCCGGGCGCCGACCTTAGGGGGCGCCACAATGGGATGGAAAAATAAATTGAAAGGTCGAGGGGGTGCAAATCGAAATCTCGAGGGGGGGGGGGGTGCAAATCGAAAAGTTTGTCCCCGGGCGCTGGGAAGGGTCGCTACGCCTCTGAAAGCAATCTCATACATTCTTCGTTCAAATGAACCGAGTGTTTTTCTTCTGGTGTCTTCAATGTATTATCAGGGCGTGTTGAATGGTAGAGCGTTTGGCTGCTAGACCGATGGTCTCGAGTTCAGATCTTAGTTAGGACTTATGACCGTAGGACGCCCCTGAGTGAATCAAGCTATTCCACCCGACCATGCCGCCTCACATTGTCTTTTTTAATATCTCTTGTGACTTGTGTTTACATGCTTATAAAATACGTTATTAGAAATGAATCTTTTCCCCAGTAGCGTAGCGAGGGGGGGGGGGACATATGTCCCCGGGCGCCGACCTTAGGGGGCGCCAAAATGGGTTGGAAAAATAAAGGTTGAGGGGGGTGCAAATCGAAAGTTTGAGGGGGAGGGTGCAAATCGAAATCTTGATGGGGGGGGGGGGGTGCAAATCAAAAAGTTTGTCCCCGGGCGCCAGGAAGGGTCGCTACGCCTCTGCTTTTCCCTCTCCTGTTGGTGCATTGAACAGTGCTGAGTAGGCTTCTGCGGAGTAGTTGTCTTACATCCACGGACGTACTATGCGATAGATTCCCTGCTTACATCGTCTGCATTGACTCTGTTGTCATCATCAATGCTGCTCTCTGTGTTTTCACACGAACACGGCCTTCGTGACCTGAGTAAACGGTGACGTCTTGGCTTGTAATAGTTTGGTTTGGTTGCTTCCATTTAAGAGTTCCACACCAGACAAATTCAGTTTTTTCCCAGACATTTTTTTCCTGGGGGCAGGGAGGGGGCGCACTTTAAACTGGGGGGGGGGGTGGAATTTCCATGGCAAGGGCGCATACAGGTTGAAGTATAAATTGTGTGCATAAAATGTGTTTTTCTATTTCGTTTGGGGGCGGTAGACTCCGCCTGAAAGAAAACCCTGAATTCAAATTTTAATTGCTAAACTAATAATTTTAAAATAATGATATTCTAGATTACTAGAACTAGACCTAACGAACAGAGCATATAGAAACCACGATGTGTGTCATTCTTAGGTGTCTTACGGTTGCTTCTGCGGTGGCTTCACCCTCTCCATTGCCACTGGATTCGTCCTTGGTAGGTCGTAACACATTTTGCAGCCAACCCAGTGGCTTAAACCGCTTTAAGCTCATTTTAGTGTGAGAGTGAAGTCAATGCAAATTTAGCCTTCAAACTGCTGAATTGGTGTTGCATTTCCGGAAGTGTGTATTCACTTGTACTCTACATAAATTCCCTGAAAAATGGTGCGCAACAACTTTGTATTTCGTAGTGTTAATCATGCCAGACTTTAAAATATAAAAAAAAAAACAAAGAAAAAACTGCCAAGATACTGTTATTTATATGCACGTAGATTTAAGTAACAATCCAATAATTACGATAATAAAAACGGCCTAAACACTGGTATTTGTATTCATGTAAATGTAGATAATTACCCCTTTCCTATAACTTATGAATATGAGTGTCTGTACAATATGTCTATGTGTAAAGTGTCCGTCCATCTCCAGCTTCATAATATATAGTCTAAGCGTTTCATCGACTAAAAGAATACATTTTAAAGTTCCAGTTTTTTAAGGAGAATCATAGCGGGATCCAGCGTGCTCTGCAGTTTCTTCCCTGCACACTTGGTAGTTATTAAAGATAAGGGGTCGTCCGTAAATGACGTCACACTCACAGGGGGGAGGGGGGGGGGGGGGGGGGGTCGTAATTTTGTGACGGTGTGTGACGAGGGGGAAGGGGGGGGGGTTCAGATGGTGCGACGTTACACTTTTGCATTATAAAAAAAACGAATTTTAGACGTTAATTCGCGTTTTATAAAACTGTTTTAATTAATTGCAATAGTAATTAATTAAAATACTCTATTTTGACAGAGTTCAGACAAGATTTTGGAAAATATATCGATGTTTTAAGAAAAATGCAACTGCGATTTTGAGGGGGTTGTAGGCTGAGGTGTGACGTCATTTTTTTTGGGGGGGGGGTTCTGGCTTTTTTGTGACGATGTGTGACGGAGGGGAGGGGGTGGAGGTAAAAAATGTCCAAAAAAAGCGTGACGTCATTTATGGATGATCTCTAAAGGCTGGTCCCAAATCGGTACTCAAATGACGTTATCAGGGTTGTGTGCAAGGTTTTCGGGATGGGGAAGCTGTGAGTGAATATAAAAAAGCGTCAGTTTCTCAAAATAGTCACTCCCCCTAAATGGAGTCACCTGGTGCGGTCCGCACCACTGCTCTCTTTAAGCTGCGCGGTCGCGCAATAGTTGTAAACCTGACTGCAGTCATTTAGTGTAAGTACCTCAGAGTACCGCGCACACAAAATGCACATTGCACAAGAGCTTTTGCTCCATATGGGGAATGTTGGTCCGCCGCCCCCCCCCCCCGTTGCGCCTCTGTATATAGGTTATATACGCAAATATGTATATGCAAGCATGCGTGTTTACATTTTTGTAGCCTGCTGGTATTTTTAAAGAGTGAGTATGGACAAGGAAAAACAGGCAGGTAGTAGAAAAGATGGGAGGACAACGTCAGAGGAAAGATGGGTTGGTTTTACACTGGTTGAGTCACTGATCCCAGGATGGCTTGGTCGGATGGCGAAGCATGCGACTGCAAACCCGAAAGTCTCGAGTTCGGATCCTAGACATTGTACAGACGCCGAACATACGATGGGCGATTTAATTAATTAACAGCTGAGCACAAATGCCGATCACTAGTTAGCCGGTTTTTATTTATCAGCAGTTTAGTATAGACACCGATATTGAAGACGCCCCCATTAAACATTCATTATTTTATCTATTCATTACTCCCTGCTTTTGGTTGGTTTATTTAATTTTCATTTTCAACTTCCGCTTATATGAACTGTGACTAGTGTGTTCTGCGTGACACACGATAATGGTATCTTAGCTTCCCTATATAGCCGCCGCTGCCCAGCACCTATCCTTCCCTATTCACCGCACTACAAGAGAAGATCGTAAAAAAAGCGACATTGTAATAGCCTGCGTATAGTCTATATTTGGTGTATAGTTGTAAATTCAGTAATGTAGCTCAAGAGTAGCTTTTAGATATTTTCTGCCTCTTTTGGCGCCCCTCAAAGATCGGCGTCTCGGGGGTGGGGGGTGGGGGTGGGGGCGACCACATACTGTGGGGTCATTCATAAATAACGTCACGCTTTTTTGGACGATTTTTACCTCCCCCCTCCCCTCCGTCACACATCGTCACAAAAAGCCAGACCCCCCCCCCCCTCAGACCTCAGCCTACGACCCCCCCCCCCTCAAAATTGCAGTTGCATTTTTCGTAAAACATCGATATTTTTCCAAAATCTTGTCTGAACTCTGTCAAAATAGAGTATTTTAATTAATTCATATTGCAATTTATTAAAACAGTTTTCTAAAACGCGAAATAACGTCTAAAATTCGTTTTCTAAAATTGCTTTTTTATAATGCAAAAGTGTGACGTCGCACCATCTGACCCCCCCCCCCCTCGTCACAAAGTCACAAAATCAGTGTTTCTTCCAGATTTTTTTCTCCGGGGGTGCACTTGAAATTTTCGGGGGGGGGGGGGGCGGACAACAATTTTCGGGGGGGGGGGGGGGGGGCGGACACTGTCTAAAGTATATATTTTCTATATAAATTCCATTTCGTTCGGGGGGGGGGGGGGGGGGGGCAAGGGCGGAACTACCATCATACCGCCAGACCCCGCAATGCGGGGGGGCCCAGGACGTTTAGGGGCCCAGTCCCGACTGAAAAACAATGAATTTTTTTTTTCAAAAATTAAGTTTTTCCGGCATCTTGAAAGTGGTTTTGTAAAAAAAAACAAAAAAAAAACAGGTCTACTATAGCAGAGATTGTTGCGTAGAAAAGTATTTTAAAATCTACAAGAGCTATAGTTTGAAAGGTAGGTTAACATTCACACTACTTCAATGACTTACTGCCCTTCTTTAAAATAGGGATGCCCGCGAAGCTCATTTAAATAGTTTTGTACTATGTATATTAAAAAGCAATTGATTCTCTGAATTGTTACTTAAATAAGACGTACTATACAATAGTATAGCTATAAAAATCAATGTTTTCAAAATTGATATTATAAAAGCCAAAAATTAAAAAAAATAAACATAACGCGAGAAACCATTCACGAATCAAGCTAACGTCTTTATATATTTTTGACCAGCATGTTTAGAATATTTACATAGTTCAAGATGAGTTGGGACTAAATTTTTGTTGGTTTGTTCTCTCAGAATGGTTATATATTGCAATGAAGTAGACTAAATTACTCAGTTAGGATATAGAATTTATATATATATATATATATATATATATATATATATATATATATATATATATATACATATATATATATATATACATATATATATATATATATATATATATATATAGGGGGCCCTAATTTTTTCTTTGCGGGGGAGCCTTTTTTTTCTAGTTCCGCCACTGGGGGGGGGGTAGACTTTCTTCGGGGGGGGGGGGGCACACAAAATGGTATTATGAAAGAAATCACCCCCCCCCCCCCTTCCTCCCACTGTCTAATCATCTATTCTACAAAACAATTCATAGGACCTATTGCTAGATCTATATCTTGTTGTTTATTGGATCTAGAATAGGGTTAATCCTACACTGTTTACAGTAAAAAAAAAATGCACACGATATAAGAGAATACCAAAAGCATTAGGCCTAATACTTATTAGATCTAGATCTAGATCTAATTATATTATAATTTTTTTTCTTTTTAGACACGAATGATTATGCATATCTTATATATAAGCAGAGTTTCTTCCAGGCATCTCTTCGGGGGGGGGGGGGGGGGCGAAGCCCCCCCGAAAAATTTTTACCGACCCCCGAACGAAATGAAATTTATATCATTTATATAGAAAATATATACTTTTAACAGTGTCCGCCCCCCCGAAGAAAGTTTACCGCCCCCCGAAGATTTCAAGTGCCCCCCCCCCGGAGAAAAAAGTCTGGAAGAAACACTGTATATAAGATAGGAAAAGAAAGATAGATCTAGATCTAAGTCTAACTCTAAGGGGTCATCCATTTATGACGTCCACACGTGGGGGGGGGGTCCGAAAAAAATTGACTTTTGTGGACGCATATTGACTTGTATAAGGAAAAAAAGTGGATTTTTTGTGGACGGGGGGGGGGGGTCCAAAATCCGAAAAAATTGTGGACGTCATAAATGGATGACCCCTAACGTAATGATTGTCTTTAGGATGAAAATAGATTTAGTTCAGACATAGATCTAGATATATTTTTTTTTTCATTTCGGTATTTAAAATGCTCGTTGTTGTTTATTTTCATTGAACCAGCATGGCAATGAAGATGATCAACTCTGTCTTCTGCTAAATAATAAATAAGAAATCACAGCTTAAAGGTTAAAGGACTAAAAACGAGCATCCTGAAGAAATTCCACAATGAAACGAAAACTAAGCGAAAGTGTATGTATTGGTGTTACACTAGCAATAAAATCTGAGTGGGAATATTGGGTGTGGGTAAAAAAGAGCGAGTTGCCACTCAGTTACAACGATGTTGTTGTTGATCTAGAATCTAGATTCTAGATCTAGTAGATTTCTCTAGATCTAGACTAGATCTAGTTAAAATAGTTAAATCTAGTAGAAAATCTACGCTAGAAATTCTATAATCTAGATCTCTCTAGTCTAGTGTAGAGAGAGACCTATCTAATCTATCTGTTGATTCGAAAATTTAGCCAAATCAGTTTCCATCAACACTGGCCCATTAATTGATTTGAAATGACTACTCGGAAAAAGCTACCCCCCCCCCCCCCCAGTGCTAGTCTGAGTTTGGCTGGCAGAAAATGAAAAAAAAGCTAGATCTGGTCTATGTCCTAATACTAGGGACTTGGATGAAATTTCATTTTTAAAAAAATAAAAAATGTAGTAGCACCAGTTTATAGAGCTCATTTAGACAAGAACAAAGATACTTTTGTTTTAATTTTAGCTCAAACGGTTACGAAGTTATGAATTTTTAATGTATTTAATTTTCGGGTTTTTTTAATATGGGGTTTTCTCAATTTTTTGCTTCCCTACTTTTTTGGATGCGAACTAAAATCTCTGTAACTTTTTAAATAGCAGGTATTTTTTAATGAAAATTCACTAAGATCACGCTTATGATATCAGTAAAAGAGTAAGATAAAAATAATTGAATTGGATGAGAATGATCATAAAAAATAATGTTAACAAAGAGGGTCACCCCCCTAAAAAATTTTAATAAGCGTCTTTGATAGGCTACACACAATCTGTTGCCAAATTTTTATTATAAGGAATATCTTACTGAAAATTGGCCTGGATAGTGCCAACACTGTATACATTAACAGAAAGTCAAAATATTTTACTTAGCTTATGTGGTTTTATTACAATGTTGGACAAAATAAAAAAGTCATTTTTATTCTGCGCAACTACTTTTTTTGCAAGAAAGAAGTACAATGTTGAGCTGATTTTAGATTACTTTGCTTATATGCAAGAAATATTGTAAACATGAAGGTTATTATATACTTTGATATTTCCTTTGTTCAAATTTGATTTTAAAAATATTTTATTTAATGAAAAAGGGGTTTAAACTCATATACCCCCCTTAATTTTAAACAATAAATTCTGCTATAGGCAACACATAATCTGTTGCCAAATTTTTATTATATGGAATATCTTAATGAAAATTGGCCTAATTGGTGCCAACATTGTATACATCCACACAAAGTAAAAATATTTCACTTAGCTTATGTGGTTTTGTTACAATGTTGGTCAAATTTAAAAAGTCATTTTTGTTCTGCGCAACTACTTTTTTGCAAGAAAGAAGTACAATGCTAAACTGATTTTAGATAACTAAAATTGTATCTAAATGTTGTCAATATGCATGATATTTCATCCATGTTATGTGTATGTTACATAGAATTGATATAATTTAATTTACAATTATTGTTGAACAAATAATTTAATAATTGAAATGATTTTATATTGGTGGAGTAATGATCACCATTTAATGTTAAAGGTAAGTTTTATAATTTAGAAACATCTGTCATATATTTAAGTGACATCTCATGCTGTGTGGATAACATGTTTAAGTCTGTTAGCTTGTATCACTTTTTTACTTTAAAAAATAACACCATCAATGATTTAAAAATGAAATCTGATTAAACATCTACTGAAGCTGTGTCTCCTCTGGCTGATAGCTTTTAGAACTGTAATAAAAACCAGCAACATCCATTCTTAAGTGGACCTATTTCTCCTTCTTTGAAGTTGCTTATGAGTAGATCCACATCTTTTGATTCTCTATCCCCTTGTGAACTGGTACATTTTATCTAGGGCCAAGACTAGTAAAAAAGCAACTGAGATGTATACTACAGCAAAAATACAGTAGTATCATATGTACTTCAAATAGGCCTACAGATGAAGACAGAACATTGTACAAGGATTGTAGTAATTTAGTAATAAATCTAAAACGAACAAAGTCCTAGAGCTATAAAGAAAATATAGGACTCCTAAAATGTTTGAATATTAGTAATATTGGTAATAAAAATTCGCTTGAAAAGCAATCAAAAGGCTATATGTTTAATATAGAATTACCCTATTGGCCTATATTTTATAGACCAAATGATAGGCAAATGGAATTTTATATTAGATTCTAGATCTAGGCCTATATCAAGCTTTAAAATTTAAGAAAAATGTGGAAAGTACACAAGTTACTATAATGATAGCTAATATAAAATGCAGAACTCATTCAAGAACAATATAGATCTATATCTAGGCCATACAATTAAAATGAAACAATAATTCAACTTGAAAAATTTCGCAGAAATCTATTTTTAGATCTAACTCAAAATTACAAAAAAAATGAATCTAAATAGAAAATATGCGCACAAAGTCAACAAAAAATCATAGTTTTATCAATATAAAATATAATTCTATAGTTTAAAATGATTTTAAAGTCAGATTCGTGTGGATGTTGCTGGATTTACAAATCAATTCAATTGAGAGCAATGGCGTCATTAACAACACAAGTACACTTCCGGTTTAAACCTCTGTCTTTCCTGGTAGTCGTAAAATGGCTTAAGCCTATACTTTCTAAACTATTTATAAAAAAATACTTTGCTATCGATTAACATTATGAAAATTTACACACATAAAGAAAAATGGTGATTATGGTCGGAGGGCTTTTTATTGGCCTTCTTTGTTAGTAAGTTTTTATGGTACAAAGAGTTTTACGTAGCCAAAGTTTGGCTCCAAAAATCCATTTTCACCTTCAACAAAATCTCAAAACAAAAATACCGTAACATATGAAATCCATTTGTTTTTCATAATCAGTCATCAAATTATTAGTAGTATCGGCGATTTATAATAAAAAAATTTTTTTTCGATCATCACCCGCGACCGCACGGCTAAATCGACGAAACTCGGTATGGGCAGAAAACTCTCGTTTTTAGTGCCTCAAAATCTACGTCATCCAAGTCCCTACCTAATACTAATAGTAGTAATAGCTGCACAGTAGTGCACAATGCGCTCAGATTACCCTTAATGGCCTTAATACAAGTTAATAGACCTACTATTATTTTTTGCTCAAAGTATTCTTTTAAAGCTGTGCAATAGGTCCTATTGATATTGAATACGAAGTGACTACTCGGAAAAAGATTTTTTGCCCCAGCGACTCCACTTGGTCGGCAAAAGATAGTTCTGCGCATGCGCAGTGACCATAATAGCTGAGCTAGGGTTACTGCTAGGGTTCTGGGGTTGTAAACACATGCGCAGTACCATAAAAAAACATCGCAGCAAAGGCAAGTCGTAGTTTCTCTCTATTGCGTTTTCCCTGTCTCATCAAGAGAACACATATGCCTAAACAACGAACATGGTAAAACTCCATTCTATCGTACTTTATTAGTTTATTCGCCGCTTCACATTCACATCCGGTTGAGCGTATTTTATTATAAACACAACCAAAACACACATAAATTGTAGGAAAACACTAGGATTAGAATCATTAGGTGATAGATATTAAGATATAGATCTACTTATTTATTTATGATTGTGTTTTAATTAGAAAAGGTAAAAACATATTATAAATAAGCATTACAGTTCCAATTAAATAGCGTGTGATCGTCGGCGCGAGAAAAATCCCTACATGGTCAAGGGTTCACCGTGAGTTCACATTGACTTTAATTATCAGCAAACGTCATAGCTTAGGGTCATTGTGAGTTAATGTAAGTTAATTTATAGTATCATGGCTTGCAATTATGCATTTCTACTTTACCCATTACATGAAAATCTTAACTGACACGAACACATTTTCAAGAAGAAAAAAAGAAATCTAGATCTAGATTAGATCTAAATAAATAGTACACATTATTCCAAATTTTGGATTTTTCTCAAGTTTTGACAAAATTAATTAAAAAACTAAATTAAAATTCATAAAGAAATAGGCAGAGTGATTTCCTAATGTTTTTGTGTGCTTCGGTTGTGTTCATAATGAAATACGCACAACTGGAGGTGAACGTGAAGCGGGGAATAAAATACGCTAAAATGGAGTTTTACCAACGAACATATAGATCACAAGAAAAACCAGGTCACCGTAACCCATGCGCATCTTCTTCCGGCTACAATCAGCCTAATTTATTATCTAAAAACTTTAAAAAGTGGTTTTAGATGTGTTTGCAAAATTGTAATACTTTTCTTATAAAATTATAATACATTAAAAAAATAGTACAGCTGTTTAAATCTACTTCCTTCCCTAGTCGCAAATATGAATAAGTACTATCAGTACTATTTAAGATATTATTCTCAGTTGTATATTGTAAGAAGTGGTGAGGACTATGAGTAGAGGGCTATTCCCTGCTGACTGGCCACTGGGAGTAGAGTCAGCGTCTTAGTAATGACAGTTTAGTTATATGAGCTCATATAAGAGAATATACAGCTTTAAAGTTTTTCATGTTTTTACAAAAGTATTTATTTAAACAGGAAGATGAGAGATCTCTAAACGTTGACAAGGAGGGAGGCAACAACAAATTAACTGATGCAATTTCTAAAGAACATAAAAAGGCAAAACTTAAAGCACATGACTTCAGCACTCAAGAGATTGCAAGGTTAAAGGAAACTGAGTCATTATTCCATTCCAGCTTGTTCAGGCTACAGGTAATTTAATATACAATTTTTTCATAACTTAAGTTTATTATTGTGAAATGAATTCTTTTTTTTCTTTTACTACACATAATACTAAGGATTAAATTTTATTCAGTCTAAAAAAAAAGTATTTAGTAGTTTACCTAGTAATAGAATTATTAGGATAAAGTCAATTTTGATTTTCTGTTTCAGTTCTATGGCTCAATATCTATTTTCGTTGTTATAATTTAACCTTGAGTTCTTTGACCTGGAATCAACATTAATATATTTGCTGAACTTTGACACTTTTTTTTCTTCTAGGTATCAGAATTGTTGAAAGAAATAAGCACCAAGCAGAAGTTAAAAAGTAGTATTGAGGAATGTGTGTCTGCCTTAATAAAGACTCTTAAAAATCTCCCTGCTGGAAAAGAACATAAGGTATAACTTAGTTTTATACATATTTGATATATGATGCTCTGTATCTTTTATTCTGTATTTACTACAAACATTTTAATGTGTTTTTTTTCAAAGATAACTGAACGTCATTGGTTAGAGACAAAGGCAATACAAGTGCCACTGGTAGAAAAGCCATTTCATGTAAAGGGAAATTTCCAGTTTTTACCACCAGCGGAGGTCAGAGAAACAGGAAGTGTAGTCCTTGACACACTAATTAAGCCAGATGTCCAGGTTGATTTGGTTCTACGAATGCCCAAAGTAAATGCAATATTTCTGTACTTTTTTCCATTAAAACAAAAAGATAGTCAAATTATGTCACAAAACAGATCCTGCTGCCAATTTTCTACTTTTAGTGGCATTTGTCTATTTTAAAAGTATCATAATGACACTATAAATAAGTTTTTTCCTTAATTTTCTTGGACTTAAAAAATAGTGCTTGCCTTAGAATCATTATCAGATACATGTGCAATGCCAAGGGAGAAAAACTACTACTGCATATTCTTGAAAATTTAATATTAGAGTGCATGTGATATATAACATTTTGGCAGGTTTGATAGTCCACCACTTAAATGTTTTGGCAAAATGGAGGCCTGCTACACAAATGCTTTCTATATTGTTTACCTTTAGATTTTAAATTAATTAATTATGTTTATGATAATCTTACTGATGACTGCTATCCCAAAAGTTTTCAGTATCTAGCTCCGGACTCATGACTGTAGGTTGTCCCTGAGTTCACCCAGCTCTTACTGGTACCTGACTTATGTTAGTGAAAGTTACAAGCTCAATACATATGTAAACTCTATTTCTTCTGGATTTTTAGGTCTGAAAGGAGATCTTTACTTTTTAGGTCTTAGGCTTCTTGTTACCCTGTCAGTGCCATCTGTTTCTTATCTTATTTTAGTAGTACAAGAAAATCCTTCTTTTCTATATTTCACCTAGGCACAATATATCTGTAAAATTGCCAATACAAAAACATAATTTTATGTATTAATTTAAACAAAAACACAGATTATAAAAAAATAGTTGGTGAAAATGCCATTTGCCGTTAAAAACTTGTTTTTGCCATACATAATTAAAATGTCTCTGAAAATGTACAGAAATGGACATGAATGTTGTTCACATGTTTTAGTTGATGATTTTGATTGTTTTCTTGCTGCACTCATCACATTTCACCTAATTCAACAGGCTTGTTTCCATGTTAAAGATTATCTAAATCAGAGATATACAAGGAAGCGAGCTCTCTATCTATGTGCAGTTGCTAACCACTTGTGTAAAAAGAAAAGAATAGAAGATCTAAAGTTTTCATATCTCATGGGAAATCCCCACAAACCTGTTCTGATAATTCTATATAAAGGTAATGATTAGATAATACATTGATATAGTTAACTCTTGAAATTAATTACTGTTTATAAATGCACTTCATAACTTATTTTCTTTTTTGTTTTGATTTAGGAAAGGATGATTCACAGCATGTTAAATTTAGACTTCATGCTGAACCTGATAATGATATTTTTAAGCTTGCTCGCTTTCATGTGTCCAAAAATAATGTGAGACCAAAGTGGTTCTATGAAAAGGGTGAGACTGTGGAGGAAGATGCAGAAGGTAACCACATGGTTTGTTGACAGTCAAATTAACTTAGTTCATATTTAATAAATGAATGTTTAACATTGAAAAATTTCTTTTTGTTCCAAAAATGGTCAGGTTTGCCAGCAACATCCTATTATAACTCAAGTATCCTACATGACCTCACTTCAGCAGTCAATGATCAGTTTATTGAGAAGATGCTGAAAGGTTCAGAGGGAATCCAACAAGGGTTAATGCTGCTTAAAATCTGGTTAAGACAGAGAGAGTTACTGGGGGTAATTTCATTTTATTGTCATTCAATACTAATGAAAAATATTCATAATTTATGGAAAAAACTTGCTCTTGTAAAAAAGAAATTTATGGAAAGAACTTGCTCTTGTAAAAAGGAGCAATCCTTGACATTGTGAGAATGGATAGGTAAAAACTTAGATAAAGTTTTAATGTCTTTTATAATATTTTTCAGGGTGATGGAGCTTTTTCTGGCTACTTAATGAGTGCCTTTGTTGTCAACATCCTTCTGTTGAAAAAGATTAACAAATTGATGAACGGTTATCAAATATTTAGGACAACTTTGCTGTATTTGTGTAAGTTTTTGTTTAAGTTGTTAACCTATGTAAAATAATTAGAAAACTATTAAATTTATTTTTTTATGAAAATAAAAAAAGACCATTCAAAATATTAAATGTTCAATGGACCCCTGCAAGATGAACCAAATTTGTTTAGGATTAATGTTTATCATGATGGTAGCTGATATACAAATTGTTTCCAGTAGCAAACATTATAATTTATTGTTAATATTGAATTTATTGCAAAAATAATAAAAGACATTCATTGCATCCCAGCACTTCTATTCTTGGCTTTCTCCATGAATGCTCTGGTCCCAATTTACCTTCTTGTCATTGATCCAAACAAACAACAGCCTCTCGGTATGGATGGAAATTCTGACCTGGATGCCATCAATCCTCTTAGCTCCCTTTGATTTCACCATCCTGTCTTTGGACACATGCACACCCTATTCATTTATCCAGGTCTAGAATCAAGTCAAGTAAAATTAAGCTTTTGCTTAAGCAGTCTTTTTGTCATTCTTTTAAAATTTATTTCAGCCAAGGCAGATTGGATTTTGGAACCTCCATCTTTGTTTGAAGGCAAAACAGAGAAATGCCAACCGTCCATTGATGAGTTCAGGAGTGAATCAGGATGTGTTTTTGTAGATCGAACTGGTTATTTTAATTTGGCATATATGTTGTCAGCATCTATTTTCTCTAGGGTACATTTTTTCTTTTGTTGCTAGTTACTATAAAATGTTTATTCAAAATAGCCATTTAATTTTAAACTCATGTACATCAGAGGAAATTATCCTTTTTTTTATCTTGAATGCTTGCATTAGGTCAAAGCTGAAGCTAAGATCTCCCTTTCTGCTTTGGATCAGCACCAGCAGGGATGTTTTGATGCACTTTTCATGACTCCTGTGTCATTTGCTCGCAAATTTGACCACATTTTTCAGTAGGTTTGATAGTTCTGTTTTCTAGAGGCCCCCAAATTTTTGGTGTGCACTTTTTTTCTAGTGTGGTTAATTTTCTACCATTTTTAAAAAAATAAAAGGATTGTTTTTTTAGAATTTGCACATTATAATTATTGAAATAGGAAATAAGTAAACTGCCTATGATTATGATATAAACAATCATAATATTGAGGAGTAAGTACTTTTCATGATAATGTTATTTTAGCTATTACAGTTGTAGTAAAGATGTGTTTTTCCCCCTTAGATGTGATTTCTATTTATTATTTGTAAATCATGCCATTTAGAATTAAACAAAAAAACTGAGTACCTTTTATGCTATATTACTAAGTTAATCCAGGAATATTTGCATAGAACAGCTTGAGATGGTTAGGAGTTTTTTTTATAATTACCTCATTGTATATTTTTTTTTAAAAATGTCCTCAGTGTGTCAGTTACACCTTCTTTATTGGTGACTGCTTCCAAAAATATTGAAGGGCTGTCCCAGAGGCAAGTGGACTTAGGGGGTCACATCAGCATGGCCCTGTCTTTACACATTCTCTCTTTGTTGTCCAAATCACTGGAAAAAAGAGTTCTACTTGTTCAGGCAAAGACAAATCCATGTGTTGAGGTAAGCTTGGCAAGTTTTGTTGTCTGGAAGTTATTAAAAGATTGAACTTATCAAATGTGTACACAAGCTAATATTTCAAACCTTTCTTTGTAGTGGGAGATATCAGAACAGCCATTATCCTATGACAATGTGAAGAGTTTGACCTTTGGACTTGTTTTAGATGTCTCTGGTGCTTTCAATATACTTGACCGGGGCCCACCTGCAGATGTTGCTGAGGTTGGTTTACTTCACGTTTTGCCAAATTGTATAACTATCATTTTTTACTATAACATTAATTTGTTTTCAAATTTTATATCGATTTTTAAATATTGAAAATTAATTGTTGTGCATTTATATTTTTGGATACTTTAATCTTAACATTTTAAATTATTTTTTTACATTAGTTTTTTATGCAATTGGCTTCGTCTTTTTTTTTTTGGATAATTTTTTTACAATGCCATATTATATTCTTTGTTTTACTATTACTAGGCAAAAGAGTTTCGTGATTTTTGGGGAGAGAAAGCTGAAATGCGTAGGTTCAAAGATGGAACTATTCATGAAGCTGTGTTGTGGACTAGCTCATCTAATCAGTGTGATCGTCGACTTGTTTGCAAATCAATTGTGCAACATGTTCTCAATAGGTAATAGTTTATGATTCTGTATACATTTTTATAATGCACAATATGAAATGTTAATTATTAAATAAAATACATTATTTGTCTAAATGACATTGAGTGTACACATTTTTTTTTACCTATTTGATGGTTAATTAACAATTTATAAACTCTAAGAGCAAATAAAACTGTGTTGACCTGAATTATTATTGTTAAGCTCGATGCTACTATGGTTGAGTCAAGTTGAGCAGTTACTGTCTCAGTTGTCGATTGTCTATCACGAGTTTGAAAATTCTTGTCTTTTTCTGATAAGTACAAATCCTGCAGACTTGTTACTTTCACAACTTAATTTTGGTAACATATTACTTTTCTGGCATATTTGTACAGTGTTAAAAATTGAGACTTTTATTTGTAAAATTATCTCTGTACTACAAAAAACCTTATTAAAAAAAAATTACACTATCTGAATGTTTTTCTAGTCAAAAATGAAATTATTTAACTTCCTTAGGTTTCTGTATCGATCATTCAGGGTGGTACACTAATTAAACTTAAAATTACTCTATTTACAGGCATTGTGGGATACCCCATTCAGACATTCATTATATGGAAGGTAAACTAGATCAAATGCTTCATCTAAACCTCATATCCAAAAATGCAGATCAGCATTATGGCACAGGGGAAGAGCAAAGCCTAGCCATCCACCATTCATTTGACCAGTTAAATCGGGCCATTCGATCACTGACCACCATACCGCTGGCCATACATTCAGTTCAAGGTGTCCACCCTGTCTTCAGACATGCTGATGTAAGTTTTAAGTACAGCAGTTTCTATTCTAAAAAAGTAATTGTTTCTTTTAGATTTACTGGAAGGTAAAAACATTTTTGTTTGCATTTCGCATAGGTATTTCCAGCTTTGCCTGCCCCAAAAGTAACTATAGAAACAGAAGTTGTTTTGAACCATGTTGTGCCTAAAGAAGGCAAAGCTTTACCTCAATTTGTGCCTGCAATGGAAGGTAAAAATAAGATGTTTCTACTTTTTATAATGCAACTGATTTCTGCATTTTCTGCCACATACAGTTCATACTTTCCCCCCCTCAAAATTTGCCAAAAATATTTAACTCAATTACTTTTTCTTTAATTATATAAAAACTGTTGTGTTCTTTAGCTTAGTCAAACAGTACAGTGAGGCACAATATTCCTGGGTGATAATTAGAATAGAAATATTGCTTTGTTAAAGTTAAATTACAAGCCATTATTGTGTCTTTAAAAATACATGTTTCAATTTATTATATTTTCAAACAGTTATTTGCTTGCTGGAAGGTTCTGGAAAGTGGCCAGAAGATTTAGAAGCCATTAGTTGTATGAAATCTCTGTTTCATATAAAAATAGGAAATGAGCTGAAAGAAAAGCATAACATCTCTGTTAGTGTAAGGAAATCTCATGTGGATGTACTCATGGTAAGAACTGCTTGCCACACTGATAACTCCACTTCTTTATACAGCTTTCTAAATAATGTTTTCTTCTGTGTCATGGGGTCAGGAAAAATTTGTTGACACAGATTCTATTCTGCTTTTTTATAGATTTATAATTTGTGAAATGATATGTTATGCAGTTGACATCCAAATTAAATGAAGAAATAAAAAAAATATATATATACATATATTTATATACACAAATCTATTTGCTAAACTGTATTTGTCATTTTAGAACATCCTATTCTGTCAGCAATCTCTGATTACAAACTGTTTATCAAATGATCATTTGTAAATTGTCAACCAGAAAGTTTTTATCACTTCTTTGTCTGAAAAATTGACCTTACAAATGTTGCAATTTTATATTTAACCATCTTATTTCTCTATCTACTTCCCCATGACTTCCCATCATCTGGAGTGATGATAGAATTATAATGTCAGCATATGTAAAAGTCGAGTGACTTATTTATTGACGAGTTACCTTAAATTTTGCATTGTAAATATATTTTGGAATTTTTTAGCTTCATTGATATTCCTGCGATAGTGATGTATTTTTATATTCCACATCTTTCCCTCATTTTTTGCCCAAGACACATGAGGCAGATAAAATAGAGTTCATCTGTTTCAATGACCTCGTCATACAAGTAGACTTGAACCCATGATCCAAACTTGAGACTTTAAGGTTAGAAGTCTAGGACTCTACCTCTCGGCCACACATTCCCCATTTTTTACATATTGCCATGGAAGAAAATATCAACAAAAGTAATTTCTAAACCACAAGAGCACAGATTTATTTTTAAATGTAAACCCTGTTGTTTCCATAGAATGGTTTTGTATTCCGGCTGAAGGTAGCAAACACAAGAGAACTTGCTGTTTTACGCACACTTAAAACTGAAGATGGTATGATCAAGTTTAAAGATACAGATGAATCAATAGCATTGGAGCGTGAAATTGTGGCTCTACCACACTTGACAAGTTTGTTGCATGGGTGAGCTCTCTTTAAACTGATAATCAAAAGATAGTAATCTTATGCATTTCATATATTCACATTAATTTATACAAGAAGTTTTTAAATTAACTTCAGTAGTAAAGTATTTTGCTTTGTTTCAGTATTCAACAAGACCATCCTGCTTACAGTGCCACAGTTAGATTGTGTAAGCGATGGATCGCATCACAAATGGTGTGGGATTTTGTGCCAGAGGAAGTGATAGAGCTTTTAGTGGCATATACATTCATTTGTCCTCAGCCCTACTCCTCACCAGGGTACCTTTATTTAGAAGCTTTTAATTAATTGTGTCTTGTTGCTTATAAGTGTTTATGAAGCAAAAACATTTGGATACCATCTAATATTTATATAAATGTTAAGATTAAATGTTACACTTGTTAGTGGGCTATCCCAAATTTGTCACTTATGTTCTTTGAGTTAGATTGAATAAAATTTTTAAATTTCTATTTTGATATTGTGATTTTTGTGTAGTGGTTTTGATTAGGGGTACTCATTATTCTTAAGTGCCTTTTAGGAATACGTAAATTCTCAATACACGACTTTAATTATCCTACAGAAGCCCCTGTACTGGTTTGATGAGATTTCTACACCTTTTGTCTACATTTAACTGGAAAGCTGATCCACTGCTAATTAATTTGAATAAAGAGTTTACAGGTTCGCTTCTTAACATACTAAACTTGTTTATTTTAAGAGACACTTTAATTCAAATGTAATCACTATTTTTTACATCAATATCTTTTAGAAGAGGATTTTTCAAAGATTCCCAAAGAATTCACAAAGAACCGTGCGACTTTGCCTAGTATGTGTCTGTCAACACCTCATGATAAACAAGGCACTAAATGGACCAGACCTAATCCCACAGAACCTTTTTTACAAAGATTAATTATCCTGGCTCGAGAGTCACTAAAGATACTTGAGGCTCAAGTAATTTCAGAATGGGCAACATCTGATTTTAAGGTAAGGATTTAAAAAGATTTCAATGAACCTACTCTTAAGAATTAGCGATTAGTGTCTAAAAATTAGTACTTTTACAGAAGAGCACATTTTTTATATTCCCAGGTGATATTTAGACCACCTCTCCAACATTTTGATCATTTGATTCGACTGATCAAGAAAACCAATGTGCTGCATTATCAGAATGTTGATAGTAAAACTGATGTAACAGCAAGGAAATGGGTTGAAAAACCAGGCAGCCAACCTCTTCCAGTTGTAAATTTTAATCCAGCCAGAATGTTTCTTCAAGATCTTCATGCAAGTTACTTTTTCTTCCGTTCCATTTAAACATTACTCATAAAATCATAATAATTGAAAACCTATTATAACTTTGTTTTTTAAACTTACAGTCTGTATTTGGAGAAATAGCCATGTTTTTTTATGATCCATATGGTGGTGATGTTATTGGAATGGTTTGGAAAAGGCAAGCTCTTGAAACAAAGGAATTTAAGGTAGATTCTACTAATATCTAGAAAGATTGTCAATATCTTGGCAAAAGATATTCTCAAAAATACTAACCAAGTATTAACAAGAACAAATATTTGTACTTCTTGTGCTCAGACAATACTTTTTCCATTTAAAGAAAAATATTCACCTATCACACATCCATATCTCATTAGCTGCAATAGCAAACATCCAATGTATCCCCATTACTGTTAGTACTTTGTTTGAAAGAAACTCTGGTAATCTTGATTGTTCTTTCTATTCTACATTCTTCCAACTGTACTTCATATAAACAATCACATTTTATTTTTAAAATTTAGAGAGAATCAGATAATGCAATATTCTGAGTCCATATTGAAGTATTATGCTTTTTTTTCTACAGACCTCACATTTCACCTATCGAAAGCCAAAAGTAGATGAAAAGGAAGTTATTAGTTTGGAACTTGAAAAAGACTGCATCTTGGATGACATTCGTGTGATGGGAGGAGGCATAGTTGAAGGGATTATTTCTAAAAACAATTAATAGAACATGATGAGAAATATGAACACAACCTTTACATTCAGCAATTAAAACTTGTTGTACCTTCTAATTTTGTCAGTGATAGTGATTGACTTTTTAAAATTTAAGTCACTTATCAATTCAGTGATACAGCCATTCTATTATTTTTTTTTAGACTTGGGAATGGTTTTTGATGGTTGCTTGGTAAAGAGGTTTTGAACTACTAATGCATGGGTTCCCAAACTGGGGGTCGCAAAGGGCTTTCTGGGGGGGTTGCCAACTGGTAGACTAAACCCTAGCAATGAAAAAACAAAAGGATACATATTTAGAAAACTATCTGAAATTCGGCTTTAATTAACATCACAATGGAATATAAAAAATAAACAATGCATACTGTGCTGCTAAGTTGTTCTTAGAAAATTGTATTTTAGTGTTTATCCATTTCCTCACTAATTTCGACTTTAATTCTATGGGGGTTGCAGGTCACTTACTTTTTATAAAAGGGAGTCGCCACTCGAAAAAGTTTGGGAACCACTACTAATGCATCAGTAAAAAAAGAATGTTAGTACTTATTCTGCTTCTTTAACAATCTCATATAATAGGGCAACAGTGTTGGTGTCAGGTAATCCACCAATGGCTTGTCTTAAACTTAATACATTGTCATCAGCTTCCTAAGTGTTGATCCATTTCAATTTTTTGCAAGTATATCATCTCCAGCAGTTTTGTTGTGGTGGTTATGTGCTAGAAGAGCTGTGATATTTTTGATATTGGTAATAACCTACATTCTCATTGATATTGACAGAGAAATAATAAAATTGTAATTGTGCTACTTTACATTGATGAATAAATTAGATGGCTTTCTATACTACGTAATATTACTGCACTTTGGGCCAGATTGAGATGAGGTGCCATAAATATATGCAAATTATTTCTAGCCCTAATCATATATATTTTTTTGGTAAATTTAAAGCTCATAGATAGAAATAGTAAACTCGGATTTAGACTAGCTAGCAGTCGTATGATCTACCATTCCACTACTCTGTCCCGGAGACTTCAGTAGTGCTTATTGAGTAGTGTTATTACAAATATCAGGATTGAGATAGTGAATACAGATTGTTTACAAAGTGAGATTTGCTAGCAGTTCAAACAAGGTTTAACCAAATCTAGGTGCCAGAGCATAGAAAATTGTGACTAACTTGCATTATGAAACTATTGTGACATTTTAAACTGTTACCTAATAAAATATTTGATTATACTTATAATGAAAATTTAAAGGTATAATTTGTACAACTAATAAATAAGGACATACTGAAGCAAAATTCTGATTCACCACCAATTAAATTCATTCAACACAAATGTTATTTTCTTTTACGAGTTTTCTAGCCCCTCTTTGTTTTTTTTACTAATAATGTTAAAAATGTTATAACTAGAGCATGGCAGTCAACAAGTGGATACTAGTTATACGTTGGTATGACATATTAGCACTTACATTTAAGACAAGCATACCTACACAAAATACAGAGATTTAATATTTTTTTTTATTTAACATACAAGTACAATGAAGTCCATTCTTCAAAACACATTCATTATAGAACTAATGATCTTAAATTTAGTAATGTACACTTTCATGCTTTTAACACTTAATTCATTTTAGAATAAAAATCTTTCAACTTATAAAATGCTCACAGTACACAAACACTCAGGAACAGATAGCTGCAATTCAGTTCTTCTTTGTCTTTGACTGGTCATATTTACTCTTAGAACTGTACCACAAAAGGAATGGAATTCCCAAGGAAGGCAGAGTCATAAAAGCAAAGACAAGCCAATCCAGCTGAAATAAATGTTAAGATTAAAAGAATGTTACAAAGTGTAGCAGCTATTTAACTGACACATTTAAATAAATCAATTTAGTTTAAATGGCAAAATGCTTAAATTTTTGGAATGATAGGCTAATAATACAAATATTATAAAGGATAGACTATGGATTAAAAGGTGATAATATTGCTAAAATATTTAAAGGTGAGAAAATTGTTAAAATACTAACATACGATTTTATTTATTTATCTATCTACTTTTTTACACTATATAAAGATTAAAAGTTTTATGTTAAAGACCATATATTAAAATGATGTTAAATATTTGAAACTCATCTAGTTTTAGAGGGGGAAAAAGTACTGAAACCAATAGTAATATGAATAATCATTTTTAATTGACCACATCATTTTCTAAATGATAAATGTATAGAGAGAATGGTCTATTAATATATATGTTGTTTTTCAACTGATTTCTTTTAAATTGTAATTTGATAATCACAAAAGTGTTCTGAGATTGTGCTCAAGTTAAGCAAAAAAAAATAAATAAAAAAAAGCTATCCTAGTATTAATTTTTATCCAAATCTTAATTAAGCGCTAAAAACAAAGCAATCGTATGATTGATTTAAAAACATCTGATTCTGAGTAACCACTACTTGTAAAAAAAAAAGTTTATTCAAGTCCATTTAAAACTTACCACATGAGGAGAAAATCTGCGATCAAATTCTCTTTGTGGAACAATACCTCCTTCACCAGGGAAACTAGTATAGCCAATCTTTAAAATAGAACGTGTTCAGATTAATGAACATTAGAAAGGACATGCTCTTACTACACATAATCTTATAAAGTTATATTTTAACTCTTACAAACGAACTGTAGTAAGTGGACATCAGGTAATTGTTAAAAATGAAAAAATAAGAAATGTTTAGAAGAAAAATGTGTTATTTACAGTTCTTTCTCTTGAATCTTCTGAAGTAAGATAACTCAACTCTGCAGAGGTAAAATTGAAATAACCTGACTTCAACGGACGCAGAATTACTGCATGTGTCACATTAGAGGTTCTGCATCCAGGTCAAGAAATTCAACATAGTAATGTTTTGATTATTATTACAGACCTCCAAGTTTAAGCATAGTTTAATTGAGCACTTGACAAACAAAGGTTATTCATAAAGAAAGGATACGGTGCAATTCTTTCCCATTCAACTTTAAGACTACCTCGAACAACACTGAATGATGTCTCAGGGAAGCTATTGTCATTTAAGATCACATCAAATGCAACCCTGAAATTATAATGTTGATTAAACATTTCTGGTTATTATTGAACTGTCTTACTGTGTGTGATATCTGTCTACTTTCAAAAAATTTTTTCTTTAGGCCTACCTGCTGCCAACATTGAAAATTTTGTATTCAACTGTAAGATCCTTTCCTTCAACTAAATATTGATTGAGGATATTTTTTGAGGCTAACAATCTTGCATCTGTCTCTTCTTCACCAAAAGATGGCAAAAAGCAACTAAATGTTAAAATCAGTGCTGCTAACCACAGCTTCATCTAAATAAAGAAAAACAAAAGTTATTTGGACCAATTGTTAAGGTTAGGTCAGGACATGAACACACTTGTGAGTGCTATGGTAGATTTCAAGAATCTACATTCTAAACTAGGAATAGTAATCAAAATCTCTAGAGCCTAATTTTAAAATTGCTCTTAACTCTAAGATACCTTGTAAGTTGTAAGTAATGTAAGTAAGTGATTTAAGTTCAAGTTAACGACGCCACGTCACCGAGTTTGTTACGTTGTGTCGAATGCTCAGGCTTCTAATTTCGTTAAATTTACTTTTACATTGTTCTAATAAAATAATTTTGGAGATCTATTGTGTAAATAATTGCATATTGTCTTCTTAAACTTGACTACAACTTTATATTGATATAGATCTAGATTGGATATAACATATTTACCATGAAAAATTTACGGTGACTTCACGTTTACCCACCGAAGGAAGTTGAAAAAGAACGAAATTTGCAAAAGTCGGCCTTGTGTTCCTTACGATGAAAATCTAATGTATTAATTAAATTAAATTAAATTAAAAAAAAAAACAAATGAAAATTTTTTACAGATCTTGATGAAATATTTATAAATTATACGTAGGCATATGTGATAAAAATTTATTTTGAAATTTATTGTTTGGTAGTTTTTATCTATTATATGCCGAGCTACATTTTATATATGACGACAACCATGGCAGGACTGTCACAATGCTGCGCATGACAACCACTGAGGCGAATCGGAGGGTGCATATCCCTAGGCCTAGCAGAGTAAAGCACCAAAAAGGGTAAGGACAACATAAAGGGGGGAGGGGCGTGCTCATAATTATGAATATACGACTAGACCTACTGTGTTGATGCAAGATGTCTGCGCTTTAAGTGTGGAAATGCATGCCTTCGACTGCTTGTAGCTTGTTTGTAATGTTAATCATTGGAGTTTCATTTTTATGATTTTATCCATTGATGTATTGTAGATCTAGAGATCTAGATTCTAGATGCAGTTTAAAGTTTTTTTAAAAAAATTACCTATTGCAGAGGCCCTATTAAAATTAGATTTTTTACCTGCCTAGTAAGTTATTCAAAATATTAATTAATATTAAATGTTTTTAGTAGCCATATCGTTTTAATAAATCAAGCACTAGACTATATATACTATATAGTAGTATATAGTAGACCTAAATATACTATATAATATTTTATTATATAGTAGAGGCCTATACTATAGGCGTATAATATATATTAATATATAATAGACTATCTATAGACTACTAATTTAATACTTTGTAACTTTACATTACATTTTTAGATAAATAAATATTTAATATCTAACCAGACTAACACAAAGGTCACAAACTCATCCCTCGTTTTCAGCATCAGGCCCAAGTAGCCTAGTTTTGAGCCATACACTGTTACATTCTGTGTAGGCCTGTTTAATAATCGTCAGTACTAAGTAATTGATCTCTAACTAGCTATCAAGTAAATAATAATGTTTTAGTCCTAAGCCTGGCCTACTCAAAATAAATTAAGTTTAAAGGCCATCTATAGCAATAATAAGTTTTAAATTATTTAACATTTGTAGCCTAAGTTAACACAGAATCATACAATTACAATGCTTACAGGGAATTTGTTCTAAAAAGAAAGAGCTGTGTCAGTGAACAGGTGTGTGAATATTGATTTTGACAGGCATTTTCCATACCTCCCAGACTCAATCAATGTTTTACTTCAACAAAGATTTGTGCTCAATAGACTCTATAGAACTGTAGACACTATAGACTGCTGTGTAGATTGCATACCTGGATAATTGATCTGTTCTTTTGGATTATTTTTATTAGTGGCAATGGAGCTTAATGCAACTTAAAATGACAATCTTGGCTGCATCCTTTTGTTTGTGAATTAAACCACTGGTCTTGATTCTTGAAATATTATAGCTGTTAAAAAAAATGCTATGTATTTCTTCTGGAGTATTTTGAAACATGTCAGCCAGGAGGCCTAATGAAATAAGGCTATCTTCAACTACTGACATTCGCAGAAGCATTCCTAGTTTCGCTCCCACTTTGTCAAGTTCTTTGTTACCAGAAGGTAGGTGCAATTCTAATTTCTAATTTTCATATATACACACAAAAAATATTTCGGCAATAAAGAAATTTTAGAAGCTTAAAGCTGTTACTAAAGGAACAAGTGTTTCTTTCAGGCATCTCTTACAGTGGTCATATCCCCCCCCCCCCCCCCCTTCCCCTGTCTCCAAAAGCACATATTGTGCCACCCTGTTGAAATAGAATTTATATAGATAATATATACTTTTACCATTATCTGCCTGCCCCCAGAAAGCTAATTATAAGTGCTCACGCGGAGAAAAAAGTCTGAAAGAAACACTGAAGACCACTCATTACATTGTTTTGTAATATAACCAAATTTAAAACCATTGTATAAGAGAAAATTAAGCTGTTACAATAAATAAATGTTATGCATATTGACCTGTGGCATATGTTTGGGACCATAGGAAGGGGGAGGTTGAGAACCCCTCCACTGATCCCCCAAAATGAAAGTTGTCTCCCGGTAAGTTACAGCTGTTGGCAACTGTGTGCTTGTACGGCTTTTATATTTTGTGTTGACAATTTCAAAATTTTCAATGTAATAAGTTATGAATGGCAAGTAAAGGCAGCTTAGAGTTCTGTTTTTAAAATTAAGCCTACCACTATATTACTAAGAGCCTAGTAAGCCTAGAAAGACCTTTATATCCCAAGACTAAACAGTGATACAGACAGAAATTTGTTGGATGGGATATATATATATATATATATATATATATATATATATATATATATATATATATATATATATATATATATATATATATATATATATATATATATATATATATATATATATATATATATATATATATATATATATATATATATATATAAGTATATCCCCATCAACAAATTCTTGCCTGCATCACTGTTTAGCTTTGAGACATTAAAGTCTTACTAGGCTTAGTATACCAATAAATATATTTTACCTTTGTGGAACAGCTCCACATTGTGGCATGATGCTCTATGTAGCTTTTCTATTGTGTTATCATGCATGGATAACAGTCTTTTGAGAAATACTTAGTTTCCTTTAACAATTGTTTATGAAAATGTTTGTTCATTTTTCTGTGATTACTTTACATTTTATATTTACATTTTGTCCCACTGTTTATTATCTTATCCAGTGTCCTACTAAAATATATTTATTATTTTAATTTTAATAATTGTGATATCTTAAAGTGATATTGTATTGCTCTATCAACCCTACTAGACCTTCTCAGTGTACAACTACACCCAGTTCCTCTATATTCAAGATAATAAGCAAACCTCAGTTATTTCCCTTCTTTTTAGGCAAATCACATTTTAAAAAATTAAATCGATGTATCATATATACATTTAAGATTAATTTTAAATTTTATCTGAAAATAATATTCTAAATTGAGTCCCCCTCCCCAAATTCTTATGTGTGACACTATTTGTCTTGTATTAGTTATTTAAGTAGGTCTGTATCTCAAGTTGTGTTAAAAAATATGCACTCAATTTCTTGGTAATATTTGTGTTATAAAATTTTTACCGGCTTTATTACGTTGATTAACAGCAGAATAAAAAAATAATATTTTAACCATGCATCAATTCTGATTGTGAAGCCACTCAATGGATTTTTTTTTTTTAAACCTAAAAGTTAAGGGCCAAACCTTTTTTTTTCAAAATCAAAGCAATGCGATTTGTAATATAAAGTTCTGTAACACGATTGAATAATTTCTTTTAACGATTGAATAATTTCCTTTAACGACAACTCTTGTTGACATGAAATGTCATGTTAGTGATTCTTTACCTTAAACCTACGCGACTATCATCGCATGAACGGCTACTATTCACAGCTACCCCCCCCAGGGGCGGATTAAGCTTCTGCGGGGCCCCTGGCTGAAACTTTTTCCGGGGCCCCCTAAACTATATATATATATATATATATATATATATATATATAAATATATATATATATATATATATATATATATATATATATATATATATATATATATATATATATATATATATATATATATATATATATATATATATATATATGTAGTTTATATAATGACATCACAAAACAGAGGCCTTTCCAAAAAATAAAGGTTGAATGGAATAAGCTAAATGTTAACAGAAGCCATGGCATATACAAAAAATGTTACATTAAATGTAATGTTAAATTACATTGAGACTTAAGAGCATTTAAAGTGACAATTATTTATTTACTAATGCAAAAGAAATTATGTATACTTACATTTATTACAGTTATTTTTATTTAGAACTAAAGACCAAGTAACTTTTATAGGGAACATTTTCGAGCTTTCCTGATAGCAAACTCTTCTATTAGTTCTGTATAATTTAGTGAGCTTACAATGTCATTTTCTATGCTCATAAGTGAGAGCATACTAAGTCTCTGCTGTCCCATAGTGCTTCTAAGATCGCTTTTAATCTTTTTCATTTTGGAAAATGAGCGCTCTCCACTGCAGTTAGACGTCATCATACACAGATAAATTCGAAGAGCAATGTGCACATTTGGAAAGCTCTGAATGCACTTGAATCTATTTAAAAACATCAACATTTCTAATTCAATGCTATCATTGTAGACGTTTTGCTCTTTTCCCCCATGAATTGATTTAAACAGCTCGGCGAATTGAATCAACTCCGATGAAAAACATTCTTCAAAATCATCGGGATATTTGTTGATTAGTTTTGTAGCTGCTCCTGTAATGTCACCAGTGCTAAGGTTGGTCAGGTCACTGAAGAAATCGAACATTTCTTGAACAGTTTTATAGGAATCTAAGCGATGATGTAGAGCTGTAGTTAGGTGGTCGATCACACAGATGAATACTTCAGTCTTAAATTTTTCTCTAGGAGAAAGTTGCATTTCTGAAACTTTGCTTTCGTCAAATTGTCGCTTCCTCTTTAGTGGTCGTCTGTTGGAATATGTGTAGTCTTTGACTTCACATTTAATTTTTCCTTTTGATTCGAAGCTAGCGAATTCATTACGTTGACTTTCAATAAAAAGGAGAACAGATTTTAACAAATTAACTGCTGTATTAAGAGATAAACCTTTTTCTTGAAGAGATACATTTGTTTTTTGCAATCTCTCTAAAATTGTATCCCATACCTCCAATAATATTACTGTTTCTAGTTTTTGTAAACTTTTAAGATATCCTTCAGCTTCAGCTCTACATTTAAGAGGTTGATTTTCATCGGCTGCTAACTCCTCCAAAGCCGATATATTTTCCTTATACCCTCTATTTAAAGCCTTAACAGCATCATGTCGAGCGGACCATCTGGTTTCCGACAAAGCTTTAGCAACAGGCAATCCATTCATGTGCTTGTTGTGTATATGCCAACGATGGGTAGATGCAGAAAGCCAAGAGTAAAGGCTCTGAAGGAGATTAAAAAACCCAACTGACGTGGGGCAGCACTCAGCTGCGCAGTTCCCAACTAAATTGAGTGAATGTGCTGTGCACGGTACATACAATGCTACGTCACACTTCTCCCGGATTTTAGCCTGAACGCCGTTATACTTGCCGCTCATGTTGGACGCGTTGTCATATGATTGACCGCGACAATTTTTTATGTCAATTCCATTTTCTTCCAAAAATGTTAGTATTAAATTAGCTATTTCCGAACCAGTGTGTGAAAACATTGGTACAAATTTTAAGAAGCGCTCAATAGGTCCGGTGTCTTGTACATAGCGAATAATGATTGTGAGTTGATCAACATGTGAAACATCTGGAGTCGAATCTACAGATATAGAAAAATATTTCGCTGTCTTTATTTCATCTACAATTACAGACAAAACCTTTTGACCCATAAGTTCAATCATCTCCTCACATATTGTTGAAGATATGTAGGATGTATGTCCACGTCCTTTGTTGGCGTGTATCCGCATATGTTCTGCGAGAAAGGTATCGTACTGACTTAACAGCTCCAGCAACCCGAGATAATTCCCATTGTTTGGAGAACCAACCTCTTCAGTTCTGCCCCGGAACGGAAGACCACGAATACAAAGAAACTGTACCACACTCACGATTCTGTGAAGTACTTGTCTCCAATACTGAATTTCACTTTCATATTGCGTAACAAGTTTCATGTCAATCTGACCAGTAGATTTTCGTGAACACAGCGCTGCCAATGAATCAATGTGTTGTTTGGAATTTTCATGCCTAGATAGCACTTCATGGGCACTTTTCCATTGTTTGAACCCTGATGTCATTTTGTTAGTTATAGGTGACATCAGCTTACATACAAAACAATAAACACACCCGCTTGTTTTGGAATAACACAACCAATTTCTTTCAAATTTTTCTCCTGTTCGTGCATGGACACGTGTGAATAAAGAAATGGTGCAGAACCGACGTTGTGACTCTCTTTCTAACTGTATGACCGATTCTTTAAAGTCCCCGTTTTTGTTTTGGCATGGTGTGGTACCACGTTGAATCCAATAGTTTCTAAATGCCTCTGACATCTTTTCCCGCTCTGGCCAAAAATGAAGGTCGTATATAGCATGACTATCTTCAAGGGGTTTTGTTGTATCATCTTTCAAATCACATTGTTTTAAAGTAGGAGCCTGCTCTACATCTTTTACCCCGGCGGTGTCTGATTCAATTGCAGATCCCTTTTCTACGTGACTATTTTCCTTGGTACTCGAAGTTGGTTTGAAAAAGGAGAGCAGTTTTGTAGTTTTTTCAGCAAGCTCAGCTTCGATCTTTCTTTTTTTCACCGATAATGCGCGTTTTTTTGCTCCACTAGGATAGTTACGAGACATATTCTATAGAATTTTAAAAAAAAACAAGGTTGAATCTAATTAAAAGTCCGGCTCTTTGCTGAAATTGCAAATTGTCGTTTTTTCTCCAGCAAGCAATTTTTTGACATATAGGTCTGATGAACGAGCCTTTAGGATTACTTTGTCTATCTGAAAAGTCTGAAGCCTGGATAATGGTGGAGGGTTGGAAATCAAGAAAAATTTTGAACTCTTGAGTAGACTCCGTGCGAATAAAT